CCTATTAAGGGAAACAAAATTTTCATATAAAAAATAAGAAATGAACCAACTTGTTGCAACATGGCAGGCTTGAATGACGTTTTGAATTTGTCATTTTTGAATTACATTTTGACGAATTGGAGATGCATTTTATACTTTGCCGGTTTCTCATTTGGCATTCTATAGAATGCCTAGGAAATGTGTGAAATATAAATCGTTTTATACATTGCCGGCTAGTTTCAGGCATTCTATACAATGCCTAGGCATTCTATAGAATGCCGGATTCCAAACTTTGCCGGTAACATATACATATGTATCTTATTATTCAGCATTGATATAAATATAACATGAAAAATAGTGAGAAATTAAAAAGTTTAAAATAAATCGTGATTTACTTAGCGAAATGTATTTTTGTCCTCATTTACAAATGACATATAATCTAAGCCTTAACTACATAACATCTAAGCCTTTTATGGAACTAAATACAAATGATCAAAGAAATTATTAAAAAAAAACTTGATAAATTAAATAAAAAAATAATACTAGAAATTCATCTATCTAAATGATAGTTCAGCTATTTGCAGTAGAGTGGCGCTAAAACCGTTTGGGGCAGCTGTTGTCATTTTGACGTGCATCGATAACAAGAAGGCATCGTCTTTTTATATGCTCTATCATTACCGAAGAAATTCTTAATATATTTCTCTGTGTTTCACACTATTACTTCGTTGTGTCGTTTCGTGATACAACAACTACCATTTTATCCACTGGCTTTCCTCTTTTAATTTACTTGACTGATTCAATTTATTGATAATTCTTTAAATTCTATTGATTTGAAAGAATAAAAATAATTAAATTTCATGTGATTTTTATCTTTAAAAAAATCACGTGAGCTTTAGCGTTCACCGAGTTAAAATATGAGTCTAAATAATAGGCTTAGCAACAGAATGATCACCATAACCGTAACTTTATTTAGTGAAGTAGAAGTAGATATCAATTTTTAACACCTAAATTTTCACACCATTATTTCGCTTGCGTCTGCAACAATCATTCTATCCACTACCATTGCTCTTTCAATTTATTTGACTAAATCATTATAAATGTTTCGGCTGCTCCAAAGTAAGATATTCATGGGTGTGAAGAAAAGAACTGCGAGAGACAGAAAAATAAATTACGCGAATCATAAAACACGAACATCGCAATATCTCTATGCAAGGCGAAAGAGAACGACTTAATCTACAAAAGACTTGCTAAATATGGATGATTCTTTGTTCTAGATCAGTGTAGAATTACTGACAATTAAATGCAAGTTACAGGGGATGGTTGACTTATTTGGACTACTTAAACATTCTTCTATGTACACTGCGTGAAAAATCTAACTGTTGAACTTTTGATCTAANTTAGAAGATAAAGATTATGAAAAAATATTTTACAAAGTATTTAAGAATTTCATTTGCAAAATAAATAAGTAAATAGTCGGAAAAAATCGGGGAACAAAATAATGAAAAGTTATAATCTCGATACTAAAATATGAAAGATTCATACTAGGAAACAATATTTTAATTTTTATTTCCTATATAGAAAAAAAGTGCGTAAAAGCATATCGCTTACCTTTTAAACATCATCCTCAATAAATGCATGATGGTGGCTATTTGTTATTTGGCCGATAAGCTTCGAAATAATTTCCAACTCAGCCTTGATTATTTCCCTACAGAGATTCGAGATTATTTTTTATTTTATTTACACATGAATCTGTCTAATTGCCACGCAAAATGTCACAGATTTGAAGCTCATAGAGACTCATAGCTCATTAAAGCTCATAGCGATTTGGAAAAAAAAAAAGATTTTGAAAATACAATCGATCGAACTAGACGCAATTTAAAATTTAGATTCTAGGCACACGATAGATATGTCCGTTATCAAGAATTCGAAAACTCATTAATTGCTACTCTTAGTTGGAATCTGGGGATATATTCGACAATGCCAAAATTATTTCCACTCTATAGTCACATCATCCCATCTTAATACCCTGAAATTTTGTTCTATTCGTATGAATGCTGATTCTTTCACTCTTTATATTAGTTCCTCAGTACCTCATCATAGCGCGGGGAAATGCATTTTATCCTGATTTGCCCCTCTTGACTACTGTGTTTTTTGTTTTGTTCTGTTTTTCATCTTTTTTCTCTCTCGGTTATTATGGTTTTTCTCGTATTGTTTCCCACCTTTATTTTTCCATTTTTTGTTGGCAGCTTTACGTTTTATATTTCAAATCAGTTCTGTTTCTTCTAATTCCCGTCTGCCAAGCCTTTTAATAGGGGCCTGTTCTTGAGCTTTTGAAACATGTCGACAATTATTTTTAGTTTGCATATTTATGAAACAAATGAAATTTTTTTATCAAGTAAGGTTATTATCTTATGTCTTTGACTCATGTAAGATCCGATGAATTATTGAAAGCTATTCAGGGCCGTTTCTGAGTAACTAGAGCAATTTTAGCCGAACAGTCGAAGTGTAAGGAAATAACGTTTATAATAGGCTTTAACTATATAATTTTCTGGTTAATATATAAAATCAGTGTAATATAATAGCAGTCGACGCATTTCAAGCACTCAAAAACGGACGCATATTTTCAAGACTTGTCAGACTTGAATGAGAAGAAACAAAAGTGATTTGAACTATAAAACTCAACGTTGCCAACGAAAATGGAAAAAAAGGTGAGAAACAAATGAATTCTCTTTCTGTTTTTCATTTCTTCTCCCTTCTCTCGGCTACTGTGGTTTTTCTAATTTTTGTTTCCCTCTTTTTTTCCATTGCAGAACTTTAATTTTTTATTTCACATTTGTTTTGCCGTCACTTTTATTTCTGTTTTGTTCTGTTGTCGTCTGGCTACTCTTGGAAATGGGAATGTGTTTTCGAGTGCTTGAAACATGTTAACTGTTATTTCCTATTTATATATTTTTGAAGCAAATAAGTTTTTAATTTGGTAATATCTTACCGATTTATTTTCTTGGGATTTATTTTCTTGGGATTTATTTTTTAAAGAGTATTTTAGTTTTAGTAAATTTACGCTAATGCTAAGAAGGTTTTAAATGCTTAACAGGGCGCAGTCCTTATACAGATATATTTTCTCTGAAAAATAACGAATAGCTGTGAGGAAGTATTTATTAAGTGATTGAATTTCGTTTTATTTTTATTACCACTATTGATATATACGTATTGCGAGGACACTGATGTAATATTTATACATTTACAGAGGTAGATTAATGTTTATAGTTGCAGGTGTAATAATAATTAATGTAAGCAAAGGTTGTACCATTTGGTTATTTTCTTAGATTATTGTGGGGTCTCAAATTTTTGTTTTAATGTTTAATGTATCGTGGTGGCCAAGTTATTGTAAATAAGCTTAATTGTACCAAAAATAAATTATTATAGATAATAACATTTGATACCACTTTAAATATTTAAGAACAATCTCTCGCTGAAATAAGAGCAGTTGATTTGCATTAGCTTATTAGTGTTTTTACAATATTTATTGTAAAGTATTTTAAGATTATTTACTTAAGAATTTGTTTTTTTAGACTAACACTAGATTAAACTTTATTTACCTTTTCTTCAAAAAAGTAACAAAAGATTAAATAATAAGTTTTAAGATGTGTCCGATGTAATGACAAGATGTGTAAAATGTAATGACAAGGGGTTAGTATTGACAAAACCGACTGTATTTTTTAGGGAAGAAATTATTTAAAAAAGTTTCCTCAAAATTAGCCTACGTATCATTCAACATGAAGATCAACTGTCAAGTTTTGAAAAAATAGAATAGATTTATTTTAAATAATAATTCATAAGCTTTTTCAGCAAACTAATAACAATTGCCCGCGCCTGTCCAATGCCTCCTACAACTGAAAGTCTCCACATGGTATCTTATAAGTAGTCCGATCTGACTACCATTTACTGCAAACCTATTTACGAAAGAGCCATTTAATAGAAAATCTAGTAAAAATAAGAAAGTGGTAGCAAATATATGTCTAAAAATTTGTTTAACTTATGAATATGATTGGTTTGTCTTATTCACTTGTCAATCACTACAGATTCAATTCTCAAATATATATGATAAATTTCTCTATTACTTTTAAAATAAAATTTGGGTTCATGCGCACTACTGGTTCACTTGTAAAATAGTCTGCGCAGACCACTGATAAAATACCATCTGAAGGCTTTCTGATGTAGGAGGTGATAGCTAGTCCCCTCTCCCCCTTTATAGCGAATAATAACATAACATTTAAGAGCCAAAATACTAAGAAAAGCTTATCTAGCGAAATAGTTTTTATGTGCCTAAATAAGAAGTTAATTAAGATAATTACGTTACTCCTAATGTTTGTCTAAATAAGATTTGTTAGATCAGTTTTTAGCAAAAAATTAAATCAGCAAGATTGTTTTTTGTGTAATGACTTAGGTGCTAATTAATTATGATTATCACGGTAGACTAAATAAGGTTTATTAGATTAGATTTTTTTTGAAGTATAAATTTACTCTATAGAAATAGGTTTTCGGATAGACCAAATAGATTTTAGTTATGATTAGTATTAGACCACATGTTAGATGAAATAATATATTTTAGATTAATTTTTGAGTAAAAAGTTATTCGATTAAAAGATTATTTAAATTCTGAAAAAAATTCATATATGTGGTCTACCGTATAGTTATGGCAAAATTTGACTATCTAATTCACATGCATTTAGGATCGAAAAGTTTTTTGTAAGATGCGGCAGAGTGAAATGCTGGATTATAAGGAGATCAAATACTATTTTCGCTAAGATTTATTAACATTACGCTTTTTGCTTAACATTTTTATTTCATTTACAACCATTTTCTGAAAACTAAATGGATCTCATTTGAATATGAAATGGGAATGCTTCTAAAAAACAATGGTTGCTCTAACTTGCAATCATTTGCTTAAAGATATTCAGAAATAAACGCTTTGACTATTGTTCTTTTTATTCTAATAAAATATTTAATATGGAGTGCAAAAATATAAAAGCTCTAAACTCGCTTCTAAAATTCTGATTATGTAACGGCGTGTGTTAAAAGTAGTACCATAATGTCACACGTTTTGGCAATTACCGCTATTTTGTTTGTAATTCTTGGTAAGCATTTATTTTGTTAAGCGAATCTATTATGATTGTATTATTGGTAAACAAATGCCTCATAATACGATAAACTATTACAGATTCATAATCAATGTAGCGTAGTTCTGTTTTGCTTGTTAAGTAAAGTTATTAAAGTCATATATTTGAACTGTGTGCATCATAATAGAATGAACAAGATTAGATTTCTATTTAATATAAAACACTATTTTCAGGTTAAGTGCAATTTTTAAACTTAAATGGTTGGTGATTATATACATTATAATAATATAAATTATGTACCAAATTTATATTTTATAGTATAGCTTTCATCTAGTTTGTTCTATGCATTTCCTTAACTGATGTGAATGGCATCATAATAAGAAGAACAAGACTAGATTTCTATTCAATATAGAAATTTTTTTTCTGCTTTAGTGAAGTGCAATTCCTAAATTCCTATAGTTGGTGATTACATACATTATAATAATGTAAATTATGTACCAAATTTATATTTTATACTATAGATTTATCTAGTTTGTTCAGTGCATTTCTTTAACTAATATGAATTTCATCGTAATAAGAACATGACTAGATTTCTATTCAATATAGAACAGCATTTTCTGGTTAAGTACAATTCTTAAATTTATATGGTTGGTGATTACATACATTATAATAACATAAATTATGTACCAAATTTATATTTTATAGTATAGCTTTATCTAGTTTGCTCTATGCATTTCCTAAAGATATGAATGGCATCATAATAGAATGAAGAAGACTAGATTTGTATTTTATATAGAAATATTTTTTCTGGTTTAGTGAAGTGCAATTCTTAAATTCCTATGGTTTGTGATTACATACATTATAGTAATATAAATTGTGTACTAAATTTATATTTTATAGTATAGCCTTATCTAGTTTGTTCATTGCATTTCTTAAACTTATACGGATGGCATCATAATAGGACGAACTACACTAAACACGTATAATCTGTAAACGAATACATCTTAATAGAATGAATTGTGCTAAATTTATGTTTAACTTTATTATTAGAGAAAACGACCATTATCTTTATGGAGGAATAGAATTTTTACATGAAAGTCATTTGTAAAATATTTTCCTTTCAATATTATTTTCGTTTGTTTAAATGTTTAGCCTTTCAACAATCTAGAGCATCATAGGGATCAGGGAAGTGACCTCATGTCTAAAAGGTGCCGGGTTCGAAATCCGCTTTGGGCATGGATGGGACTCGTTCTCTCTGTTCTACCCGTCACTTTTATGTTGATGAGGTGACATTGATCCACCTACATGGATTAGCAATACCGTCAGTTAAGTACCACGATGACATCGGTTGTAAAATGTGGTGGGCAATGAAAATAACACATTTAAAGTCGATGCAGTAAATTTAATTCCAAGTCCCTTTTTTGGGTAATGATGAAACTCAGTGCCGGTCACCGGTGACCCCCATGGCGTTCAACGTGTTAATGCCAGAAGATGTTTCTTATTTTAAAATACCACTTAATAATAAGTGGGTTTGAAAGTTGAAACCTGAATTTTTATGTATTTATACTTTCTTTGGAAAATTATTATTATTAGTGGTGGTTAGTCAGAAATAAAAATTTTGATTTTCATTACCCCTTTTTAAAATTTTTAAAGTCAGCGGGAACCCTGTATAAAGTTCCGTTATCCTTGTAATATTGAAGCCAACCCAGAAGACAAAGGAACTCCCGGATCAAGCACTGGAACAAACTCTGATGAAACTAACCCGCAATTGCGTTACAAGGAGTGAAAAACCACAACCTCTCGCGGTTACCCGGACGGCACGAGATTCTAACCTATGATCTCTTTACCACTGAATATATTTTCCGTCAGCCTTATGGTCGATACATAGAGATGCGTCGAGAATTCGTATCAACCAGCCAATGCTTGGATTCTAACTTGTGCTCTCGTCATTGGGAGGTGAATGTTCCTATATCCTGAGCCACCACTGATTTTATCCCATCGCACTGTGAGCAAGAAGACCATGATCTTCTGCCAAAAGTCAAAAATTAAATTTTCAACTAAAATATGTGTAGGCAGTTTTAATATAGCCCAAATTAAGAATTCATAATCATTTCAAACATTATAATTTACTTTTTGGACCGACGAGAGTACAATGCAATGAAAAATATGTTAAATTTTTTTTTAATGTAACTTTTAAATTTGTATTTCAGAAATATATATCGGAATTTCACCTTACTGCTGCATTATTATCAGAGTAATTAGTGTTAAATTATAGTACGATTTTTCAATTTGTTGGATCAGTTAATACTCTTGACAAACTTATAGTTTATATCTTATTATTTGACATTTTACAATGCTTGAATGACTTTCAAAACTTAGTTTCAAATAGTTCCACGAGGTAATTAGCTAAACTTTTTTTTTTGTTATCTTCTCGATGTTTCTTCTTTTGAAAAAACCTGCCCCATTTTGCCCGTATTGCAAAGGTGGACTAAATATACCGAAAAACAAAAATTATGTTTTTTTTTTCATGCTTTCGCGTTATTTTGTAATATTACTTCGGAAATATAATTTGCTTTTCATTTTTAATATAACATTACGAAAATTATTATAGTTTCACTGCTATATTTCATTATTTAAATGTGCTATGTTATTTTTGCTCGCCATATTTCAGCAGCCATTTTGTTTTTTGGGGGTATTTTTAGTGTATTTCAAAATTTCAACTATGAGTTCAATTGACCTGCACATAAAAACCCCTAAATGAAACCCCCCAAATTTTGAAACAAATTTTATCGAAATACTAATTTTGGCCGCGAAAGCTTGGATGCTGGTCCACTGTGCATCGATTGAAAGGTTCATTCCAAAAGAGCTGCTTTTTCGTGGCATTATATTTCCTGAATTACTGCATAAAATTTTTAAAACTTTCGCGTATGTAACCAGTTTTTTAGAAAAGTATTTATGCAGGAAATAAAATTGCGATGATGCTTAGTAAGTGAGAAGTAATCGAATCATCGAAACAGATTAATCGTTTTAGTTAAATATCTAACTTTAACTTGGAAAAGATTTTTATTTTTATTTTTTATTTCTTTACTGATTCATATGTTTATTGGTTCTCCAGTAAGCTACTTACTATACTTCAGTAATAGATATGTGTTACCGCAATTAAAATAAATAAAACACTTATTTCTAGTGTTTAAACTCTAAGTATTAGTTCTTTATGTACGTTCAAGTTAGCGCAAAATTCTTTGGAAATTAAAATTTAAGAATTTGCAAAAACGAATCTTTCGTATTAAACACAAAAGCCGAATATTTGGTGTGATCTAATAATAAAGAAAGGCCGAATAGTTCAGTCGAAGATTACTAACATTGTTTACATTCACAGTCATTTCTATTCATGTTTTTTAAATAACAGAACTATTAAGCTATTCGTGTGTATAACACAGTAAGAAAATGCAATGAATTTTTAAATTCATAATAAAATTTCATTTTAAATATTAAACAAATTTATTTTTAATTTAATAATATATTATCATTGTTTATTATTAAGCAAATGCCAGTCATTGACTATTAGATGATTATGTTTGTAGCTCTCCAGTACTTCTTAACAATACAGTCAAAGTCTTTCAGTGCAGAGCACGTGTCCAAATGAGCAGCAGTTAATGGCCTGTCCGGAGTTACCAAAATAAATAAATAAATAAATAAAAACGGAGCACTGTGAGTTTCACAGAGCACATTCCAGGTCTAGCAGAGTGAGATGCCAAACAATGGAACTATTGTTTGAAGATTCGAAGTCGAATTAATAATATATTATCAATTTTATAAATGAATGTAAATTTAATAAGATTTTTATTTTAATTAAGGGGAGGAAATATACATGAAAAAAAGAAATAGTGCTATTTAAAATTTGAAAAAAGGCGAAACAAAGCAAATAAGGGAAAGAGAAGGCTTTTCAGATGAACATTAATTCTGATTTAATTAAAAATGAATCTCTTTGACGCTAATAGAGATCGGGAAATATTTTCCAGGAGATGCAGTTGTTCCCTAATACAATTTAAAAATGGCTGAATAAGCATTACTTAATTGGCCAAAGACGTAATAACATATAAAGCTGCTTATGTACTTCGAGTTTAATAATAAAATTAAAATAACAATTATATTCGTTAACAAAAATTACGTCAACATTTTTTAAATTACAAATAAAATAATAAAGATATTTTTCTAAAAGCATCATTAAAAACTGAAGTAAGTTATATAACAGATAACAATCCACCAGATAACAAATAAATCTCATAAGTTGGTGAAAATGAAAACTAAGAAATCATATAAACTTTTTTCTGAAAAAAATTTCATGCTTGAAGATTGAATATTTTTGTTAAGTTTAAAATAGTAAAAAAAGAGGAAAAAACTAGTGAAATTTGTTTATATTATTATCTGCGTTCTTTTTTTAATAAGATCTGTATGAATACATCAACTAAATTGAGGTTGAAAATGGATCCTTATTGAGTAGCCGAATATTAAATAATTGTTCAAAATACTGCCTCCCCATTTATATATTTATATGTCGCAGTGATGTCACCGTGTGACACAGATGTGACATATTCGCGACTCAACCTATTCACACTGTGACTCAGTTGAGACACAAATGTGTCATAGTTTCGCTACAAGCTGACGTCACTGCGATAATTAAATGTCTCATTGCGGTCTGATTAAGGCTCCTATACTATCAAAACTGACCTATCAAGCAATATTGGAGCAAACAAATTCGCAAGTTAACGTTATTTTAGTATTCGTTATGTTATTACAGAGATGCCAACTGCGGCGGACACGCCAAAATAATTTAAAAAACGGTAAATAACTACACAGTAAATTTTGCAAATAATTTACAATATTTGCTTGCTTTTAAAAATGTAAAGCATGAAATAATTACATTAAAGTGGTGAATTATATAAGCCTACGCATTGTTCAGAAATAGTGGTGGATTAAAATCTACTAAATCGAACTTATGAAACCAAGAATTACAATTAATAAACTACCACTTGAAAATATTTATTAGCTGTGCTTATGTTAGCTCTTTGCTCCAACAATAAATGATAAGTCGGCCTGTCTAATTCAGGGGCTCTAGGTCTGATTAAGGCTCCTATACTACCAGAGATGACCTATCAAGCAATATTGGAGCAAACAAGTTCTCAAGTTAATGTTATTTTAGTATTCGTTATGTTATTACAGAGATGCCAACTGCAGCGGACACGCCAAAATAATTTAAAAAACGGTAAATAACTACATAGTAAATTTTGCAAATAGTTGACAAAATTTGCTTGCTTTTAAGAATGTAAAGCATGTAATAAGTTCTAGCTAGCTAGATCATGTATTTTGGCAAGGTACCTGCCCGCGCAAGCGGGCACTAGACCTCTTATCTGTGATATGCCCTAGGGCGACTGAGACTAATGACATAGGTAATGAGGACGGGAAATTTGGAGGAGTACGAGGCAGTAACGGCTCGGATATCTGCATATGCAGTTCAAATCATGATAAGTAATAAGTTCTATAAAGAGGTGAATTATATAAGCCTACGCATTGTTTAGAATTAGTGGTGGATTAAAATCTACTAAATCGAACTTATGAAACCAAGAATTACAATTAATAAACTACCACTTGAAAATATTTATTCGCTGTGCTTATGATAGCTCTTTGCTCCAACAATAAATGATAAGTCGGCCTGTCTTATTCAGGGGCTCTAGGTCTGATGATAGCGACTGGTTGACGTCATTAACCCTTTCGCGCCGACTGTCACAAATACGTGACAGCAAAAAACCGTATCAATCAGGGTAAGAAGATAAAACTGGTAATCAAAGTATTTCTTCAGCAGTTTATTTGTAGGCGGAGTTATAATTTTTTGATTTATTTAATTCACCATTACTTTGTTCAAAATAAAACTATTTAGTTATACTTTGAACTAACATTGATTATATATGTGATTAAACTAACAATAATTAAAATAAAAGCAAAGTAAGTCTGTCAAATTAGTAACGACTACATTTAAGTTACCGTTTTTTATTTAATTGCAACTTGATTCTGATTTTGTACGAATGCTTTTCTGAATCACCCGTCCCCAAGGGGTTAAAGGTCGACATAGTAACCTTTTCTGGCCTAAGCATCAACGTCGCAAAAACTACATGTGACAAAACTACAAAAATGAGTCTGAATTTTGTTGTAAACTGGTAACGATGGTATATGTGCAAAAATATATAGCAGGTGATTATTTTACTACCATTGGGAAAAACATTCTGTAAAAAATGCAAATTTTGGCAGTGGTATTTAGTGGTAATTCATATTTATCTTCCATCTGCATCGCATGTTTTATGCATTTATTTTTTTTTTTTTTCATATTTTCGAGGCTACACATTTATATTGCGCTTGTTTACGTTAAATTATTACTACTATTAGGAAAAACATTTTTCAAGAAATGAAATATAGTGATGCAGAGATATTTCATATTTATCTTCCCTCTACATAACATGCTGTGAGCATTTACCTTTTTATTGTATTTTCGAACCTGCACATTTACAATATGTTTACAATGTGTTGTAAGATGATTACTATGATTAGGAAATACATTCCTCAAGAAATGAAAATTGAGGCAGTTATGCTGCAGTATTTCATATTTATCTTCCATCTACATCACATGATATGCGTATTTACCCTTTTTCGAAGCCTACATATTTACAATATGATTGTATACAGTAAAATAATTACTATCAGTAGGACAAACATTCTTCAAAAAGTGCAAATGCTGGCAGTGGTATTTCAAAGGGTAAAAGTATTGTGTAGCGGTATTTTTATATTTATTCTACTTAGATATCTCATGACGTGTAGTAGTGTACAACCGTTTTGAATGAAGGGCCATTTGCTCAACATGTTGACTAACGTAGGACCTCACGCATATTTAGTCATGGTGATTGAAAATATGATAATTTTTATATAAACATTAATGTTCTAAGCACTGATTTTTTTTAATCAGTAAACTTAGTAACATATTTTCAAAAAATTAGATACTTCTAATTGTTAGAATTCAACCGTAATTCAATAGCTAGAAAAAAACCGATACTATTTTTAAAAATTTTCCTCTTTCATTAATAATTGATCAATCTAATATAAAAATATATTATTTTAGTGAATAATATAAATTTGAATTAAATATTTTGATTAAAGAATATTCATGAGATTTGAGCAAAAACCGAAAAATTAAAACAAAACTATTACATTACAAAATAAGCCTCAATATTTATTTGTTATTATATTTCAGATTTTTTTTTGCAATTATTCGAGGTTTTATGAATTTTAAATAGTAAACGTTTTTTTTTTCGTTTTTCCCCAAAAATCATCTTGGCTACAAAAATTTAAAGCAGAATAAATTACGAACAGCGAGAGGTTTGAAAATTCGCGTTTTCCACCAGTTTTCGAAATGTTCATGTTGCTATAATGTTAGATTCTACATATCACGTACAAATATATGGCACTAACTGCCGAATAAAAGACGAAAAAATATATATATTATATTTAAGATGAAATGTGCACAAGTAAGCTGTGTTAAAAAGTAATTATTTGAATGCATGATTAGAAATTCGCGTGTCGTAATAACATCGTAGCTAAAGTAACATCAAAACACGTGGAAAAGCATAGCAATAATTTCTAAAAATATTGCACGAATCAGCACGAATAAAGCACGTCAATAAGTAATTCTTTAACACGTAGTTATTAATATGTAATTCTTTAAATGCGTGATTTAAATATATCATGTCGTAATAAAAATTAGAACTTTTAAAACCACGTGAAAATGCATTACAAAAACTGCCGAAATTTTTTTAAAGAAATAACTTGGATTTGCAATGAAAGCGGCAAAAACAAAGTGCGTCAAAAAGTCATTAATTAAATGTGCGACTCGAAACTCGAGTGTCATAATGATATTCCGGCAAAAATACGGGATTTTAAAAATGACATCGTAATTGATCTTAATAGATGACAAAAAAAAAACGATCGAAACGTTACTTGGATTTATGGTAAAATTGGCAAAAATAAAGCAAGGTAAAAAGTGATTACTCAAATTCCGAATTCGCTTATCGTAACATCGCATTGAAAACCCCTGGTTCTTTTAAAAACCATGCGGAATTTCATAGCCATAACCGTTGAAAAAGTGATCGAGAAATAACATAGATTTACAAAAGATTGTGCTCATCAAAATGTAATGATGTTGATGAGCGATTTTTCAACATGTTTCTATTTCAAGAACAAAAAAAGGTGTAAAGAGGCTTTTGCGGGGAGCGCAACTTCAGAGTCTGTTGAGCACCCGTACAGCATGCCTCTATCAATAAATTTTTTATTTTAAAGTTCACTTATTTACAATATATGTATTACAATAACTTTATTGCATTGGAAATATTTTTCTTTTGCAGGAATTTCAAGATGCGATGAGCAACAATGCAAAGCTAACGAGGATAAAGATTGGTATTTTGACAACAATCTTTCTAACGGTAAGCTTTTAGAGAAATTGCAATTTCTAAAATTCAGTTTTTCAATTAAAATTTAGATAAATAACCTTTTGTCATGCATTATGTTAAAAAGTAATAAGAACTTAAATAACATAAAGAAAATTAAATAAATAAACAAGTTCATTCATTAAAATATTCAATGAATAAACATCATTAAATATTTAATTCATTATTAATATATATGAAATTCAAAATTGAAATATCCTTTTGTGACTAACTTGCGACCCCTTAATGTTAAATTTACTTTTTGCGTACTTCGCCATAACTCGTGAACTATTTAAGCGAACCATTTTTGCACACGATCATAATATTCGTTCATCATCATATCTGGTTAGACAGCCCAGGGTGGGCCAGTGCTTTCCTTTGAATTCGAATCCACTTCTCTCTACTTTTGACACTTGTTCGCCAGTTTTTCTCCTTTAGAGTAAGGAAATCAGTCTCAACTAAATACAGCCATCTCCGTCTGGGTCTACCTCTTTTCCTGCTCGTTAGGGGTTTGTGTAATAGGATTTTCTTTAAATTTGAGTCATCATTCCTTCTGAAAATGTGAGCTGTCCAGTTCATTCGATTTATTTTTTATGAATTTCACAATATCTGGCTCTCTGTAGGTTTTATACAGTTCAGTATTATATCGTCTTCTCCAGGAATTATTTATTTTTATCCCACCAAGGATGGCCCTCAAAACTTTTCTCTCAAAAATGGCAATTTTATTTTCACCAGCTTGAGTTAGGTTCCAGGTCTCAGAGCCATAGGTAAGTATTGGCCTAATTAATGTTTTATAGAGTAAAAGTTTTAAATTTTTTAATAAAAGAGAGTATTTAAAAAAACGTTTTAAACCATAAAAAGCTTTATTTGAACAAATTGGACGACTCCGAATCTCATTGTCCATGTTATTGTCGGCAGTAACTATTGAACCAAGGTGAGTAAAATTCTGAACAACCTGAAACCGGTGGGAACCAATCTCCAGATAGGATTCACTAGAATTTAATTTAGCAAGTACAGGCATGTATTTGGTCTTATCGGTATTAATGATTAGTCCCATATCCCTAGCAGCAAGCTCCAAAGAAAGGAAAGCTTCTTTTAATGCAGGAACAGTTCTTGCAATGATGTCTAAATCATCCGCATACGCCAATATTTGAATAGATTTTGAAAATATGTTGCCTCTGATATTGATTTCAGTATCTCTTATAACTTTCTCTAGAGCATAGGATCCCAAAGTGGTCCAGGTAGACCCCCAGCGGTCCATAGGAGACCACACGGGGGTCCACGTAGACGTGAAAAGAAAACAGGGGTGCACAAGTTGTAAGTGGGGGTCCACGAAAAATTTTCTGGTTTTCATAATAAGGAACAAAAATTTTAGCTTGGATTTACCTATCAACGTAGGCAGGTAACATCATTCACTAGGTAGGTACTCAAAAATATTCAAGACTCAGTTCAAACACAGAATTGAATAGAACAATGGATAATAGTACAAGTGTACACCACATGTCGAGACTTGCAAAGTGCCGTCCGTGCGCCCGCTCGCATTTAAATACCCTGCTTGATGACTTCAATAATAGATTTGAAGATATTCTGACGATGGAAATACCACCATGGATCATAACCCCGTTTGATGAAACGGAAGAGGTGAATGTAGTATTACAAGAGGAGCTACTTGAGCTCATCACCAACGAGGAACTGAAGGTGAAATTTAAAAAAGGCTATCAAACATTTTGGCTGCATGCAGAAATCCTCGAAAAATATCCTGGACTGTGGGAAATTGCGAGAAAATGTTTGATAGCGTTTCCCTCGTCATATCTTGTCGAAAGAAGTTTTAGTGCCGTTACCGACCTGTCAACAAAAAAAGAAGCAGATTGAACATCACAGAACGGGGAGATTTGAGATTACTTCTTACAAAACTGAAGCCAAATATTGATAATTCGTTGTCAATTCATCAAGTACTTCCGTCTCATTAAAAGTATGCCTATTTTTAATTGTTGATTTGCATTTCAAGTTCACTGTTAATTTTTTTGTCAATTGTTAATTGTTTGTAATAATAAATGTATATAATTTTGTATAACCACAAGTATTATTTTAATAAATAGGACACAAGAAAATTTGCTACTTTTTTTCTCTTCTTAACATCCCCAATTTAGGGTGATATTTTTTAGGAGTTTTGGGAATACAGTAGAAATGTAGCAGGCGGTCTACCGAAAATAGTAAAACTTTGAAAGTGGTCCACGAAAAAAAAAAAGTTTGGGAACTTCTGCTCTAGAGCAACATTAAAAAGAAGACAGGATAAGGAGTCTCCCTGTCTGACTCCATTATTTACTTTAATTTCTTCAGATAAAGATCCCAAAAGTTTGACTCTGCATACGGTGTTTGACATGCTTGCTTCTACAAGTCTAATTAGTTTTGGTGGTACTTGAAACTCAACCAGGGCTTCATACAAGCGATTTCTATTAATACTGTCAAAGGCTTCTTTGAAATCAATAAAGAGATGATGTGTGGTAATACCAAATTCCCTGGTCTTCTCTAAAATTTGTCTAAGTGCAAATATTTGATCTTTAGTAGATTTTCCCTTGCGAAAACCACATTGGTAGTTTCCAATTTGAGGGTCTATATATTGTATAAGTCTCTCAAATAAAATGTTTGACAAGATTTTGTAGGTAGTAGAAAGCAAACTTATACCTCTGTAGTTAGAACAAACCATGGTATCACCTTTTTTATATATTGGGCAAATAATGGCAGTGTTCCAGTCAGAAGGTAAAATTTCAGCATTCCAAATATCAGTAATAAGATTATAAATTAGTTTTAGAAATACTGGACCATGACATTTTAACAGCTCAGCTGCTATCCTGTCGTGCCCAGTTGCTTTGTTGTTTTTTAACTTTTTAATAGCAATATCAATCTCGCCCAGTTCAGGTGGAGGTATATCTTCATTATTCTGATTTTCAAAAACGCTCCCAGAGCAATAGGATTGATCATGTTTACTGAACATTTCTTGGAAATGTTCACTCCATCTGCTGAGTACAGACTGTTTGTCTGTCAGAATCAAACCATCTTTACTTTTGCAGAGGTTAGATGTTTGTTTAAAGTCCATTCGACTTCTATTAATTCGTCTGTAGAAAGCTCGGCTTTCATTTATTGTCTTCAGGGACTCAATACCTCTTAGGTTTTCCTCTTCAAAAGCTTTTTTCTTGCTCTTATGGATTCGCTTTTCCTCTCTCCTTAATCGTCTATATTCATCAGCATTAAATCTTGTATTCTTTTGAATCATTTTCTTATAAGCAATGTTTTTAGTATTGGATGCTGCAGCACACTCATCATCAAACCAATCTTTATTTGAATTCTTTTCCTTCTTACCAATAATGTTGTCAGCAGCATTACAAATTTTTTCCTTCAACTGTAGCCATTTTGACTCAACAGAATCATTCTCCCAGTGCATGTTAGTGAGAGCAGCTTCAACATCATTGATATATTTCGTTTTTATATCATTTACTTTAAGTTTATCACAGTTGAACTCCTTCAGAACTGTACCTTTTTTATTTTTAACCACGGATATTCTTTCTCGCACTTTTGCAATTACCAAAAAATGATCTGAATCAACATTGGCACCTCTGTAAGTCCGAACATCTAATAAATTAGAATAATGTCTAGCTTCAATAAGTACATGATCTATCTGATTAGCAAATGATCCATCTGGTGCTCTCCAAGTAGCTTTGTGAATCTTTTTATGGGGAAAGCAAGTACTCCCAATGATCAAATTATGGGAGGCGGCAAAATCAATTAACTTTAAGCCATTATCATTCGTAATATCATGCAGACTGTGTCGACCTATAACTGAATGAAATTCAGATTCCTTTCCCACCTTAGCATTAAGATCTCCAATAATTAGTTTTCTATCATGCCGTGGACAGTCATTAAAAATCTTGTCTAGTTCCTCATAAAAGGTTTCTTTTTCATCATCTGACTTGTCTTCAGTGGGTGCATGAGCACAAATTATACTATAGTGGAAAAACTGTCCTCTGATCCTAATCGCACAGAGTCTAGGAGAAACAGCAATGAAGTTCATAACCAGATGCTTAATACGTTTACTAACAATGAACCGTGTTCCTTCCTTGTGATGATCAGGGTGATAGCTAAAAAAGACCGTGTGGTTTCTCTTATTAATCACTCCATTTCCAGTCCATCTAATCTCTTGAATTGCAGTTAGATCAATCTTGCATTCATCCAATTGTTGCAAAAGCATTCGTAATGCTTTAGTTCGATATGAAGATAAAACGTTCCATGTCCCAAATTTCATTTCCAAAAGGCGTATTCCAAGTCGTCTCCGTAAGATCAGCCGTGAATTCTCTTCTTTAGACTTCGTAACAATTTGTTTTTTACAGGATGGGGTTGTTAGCCCCATGCGCAACCCCCTACCTGGAGAACCAGGGTGTTCCTCTTGGTCTGGTGTCTCCCCTCCGACCTGTCCGGCTTGGGTGACCCTACCAGTAGCTAAGCTACCGCCGGCATAGCTCTCGGGATCGACATCACACACAAACCACACCACCACGAAAGGTGGGAACACCATCGGTGCAGAATCATTCATTCTAAGTTTATTCTAAGCAAAAAAAATAACTTTTAGTAAATATTTATTTTTATTTGTCGAAAACAAATTGTGTTGTAATGTAAAAAATTTTTTTACCCCATTTTCAATAACGTAATTGTGCATGACAAAATACAAAATTTGGTCGAAATAGCTCGAATGGTTCTGGAGTTTCAAAAATGTCGTATTTTTATAGATGTTTTCAGATTTAGATCACTTCTGATAACTGGGCATTAACGTTTAAGTAACTTTTTACCTCATATGTGACTATAACTTACCAGGAAAAAAAATTGGTATTCGTAATTTGTCTTTCTGTCTAAACTATTTCCTCCGTAATTTGTCTTCCAGAGAATTGAAATATCCAGAGATTTAAAATTGAAATAGTATTAAAATACTTATTACTATCTAGTATTTCTGGTAAGTAGACTGGAAAAGCAAATCTATACTTCATACTTTTATCCTTTGTGTCTTGCCAGCTTTTTTTTTCTCAGTATGAATCAGTCTTGTATATATGTTAGTACTGTAAATAAATGATGCTAGACACTTTCACTCTTTCTGAAAACAAGCTAAGAATGGAATAATTTTGATACCATTCTTTTCATTATCGGTGAATAACAAATCTGCACATAGACTCATTTAAAGCTCTGAATCCTAAATATTACATCCTTTATGGAAACTTTAATCCTTCCGGGTCGGTAGAACGTCGGGTTCTGGTTCAAGATATGAGTTGGAATCCCGCCGGCTGAAGAATCTGAGTGCAATAAACGGTGACTGGTGCACATTAAATCTGTCGGGATCACCAAATCCTCCAAGTTCCCAAAACAATTCAATATCTCTGGGCGTATTGAATTGGAAATTGTGTTCAGTTCAAAATTAAGATCTGAGGATTAATGAATTGAGAGTGATTAGTTTCGTTGTGTAAAACGGATTGCGATGTGTGTGTGGCAGAAGACATATTCTTGGCCATAGATGGCGCCACTGAAAAAAAATCAATAAAGGCACCCTCTACCTTAAGAATTTGCCTGCTTTCAAACAGGCTTGCTGATATTGGCAACTGGCATAAGCATACCAGCCAACATTCACTCTTTTCGAGAATGGAACAACTACCGAAAAACTATCTTCCTCAAAAATATATTTATGTTTGAATCGGGTTGAAATTCGGTATCGTAAGGACTAATATGCTTTTGCATATTTGTTGTAATTATTAATATGTAGTGGTGGTCAAACTGATATAAAATTATTATTATAATTCAAAAAGATTAGTGAAATAACATGAATTTCGCTAGCACTTTAAATATGAAAATAAAATCTTCCGGGAAAACCGGAAGAGTTGGCCGCTATGCATAAGTAACAACAATCTTTTCGAGGAAGATTTTTTTTAGTACAGGGATTCCACAGCCGACTAGAAATGTAAGAAGTGGTAAAAACTCAATTCTTCTTTTTTTTATTCAATTTATTTAATTATTAAATCATAACTATACCGATGACATATGCTGTAAATTATTCATATTTAAAATGAAATCATTCTTTGCATTCACTTTAGTTATTAAACAGAAAGAAATATGCTAGAAAAAGTTGCAAACGTTCATTAAAAAAAAAAAAAACTTTCTATATTTCTTTCTATAGTCGACAGTGAAATTGAATAACAATCACAGATAGAAATATACAAGGCAGTTAACTTTCAAGGCTTTTCAGAGCAATTTCTTTTAGTGGTAGCTAAGTTTATATTTTAATGTGTCATTGTTTGTTTTGCAAATTTGATTTAAAGTTATTTTTACCACCACAAAACGATTTCCTAGTATGTAAGAAACGACACGTTGTTCTAGCTCTCCCTTGCTTGGTGAGATTTTTAAAATGTTGGTAGAAATACCCAATATTCAGAAAACTTTATACCATCCTATTAAAAAAATATGTGCAAAAAGCATAGTAGTTGGCAACTTTTAAAATATCTTTTATAATCTAAGCAGGCTTCGAACTACTATTTTTTTTGTAAAATATTTTACCGAATGATAGACAGTTAAAAGCAAAAAGCTTTCAGAATTTTTGGAAATTTTGCCATTTTTAAAGCCTCAACTGGTGTTCCTTATGAACTTTTAAATCGTTTATCTGTAGTGGTGCGAAAAATAAATTGAAATGCATACGAAATAATACATTAACACAATAACTTACTTCAGAATGCATTTACCTAAGCTATAGCTAGAACAGAGATGCCAACTTCATACCTGCCAACTTTTACGCATTTGGCGTAAAATGTCATTTTTATATTTAAAGTGGTAGTAAATATATACTATTTTTTTATTTTATAAACCTAAATTTAAAATGATTTCGATCACCAGTATTCTTTAAAAAGTTTGGCATATATATTAATATGCATTGCTAACATAGTTGTCAGCTAAACATTTTTCAAATACAACATATTTGTTTGCTTACAATTGAAAATTTAATTCTATTTTGCTACCACTGGGAAAAATTATACTGGAAGGGATTAAAAGTTGGAAAGTATGCAACTTGCTCCGGACAGTAAATATATATTATAAAGTGGTAGTTTGCCAATTGTGATTCTTGGTTTAATAAATTCAATTTAGTAGATTGTTATCCACCACTATTTCTATACAATTCGTAGACTTATATGATTCACGAGTATTTATGTCATGCTATGCCCTTCAAAAAGCAAGCAAAAGCAGTCAAATTTTTGCAAAAATTTCTTTGTAGTTATTTACCGTTTATTTAATTATTTTGGCTTGTCCGGAGCAGTTGGCATCGCTGCTAGAATATATTTTAACGAAAACTTAAACAATCCTGCATTTTATAGAATGGGATACCTTTTATAAACTAAAGTTTTCCGATTTTTTGGTAATTTTGCAACCATTTTAAAAGTCTCTCTCTGGAACAAACTGGTGTTCCTAATACACTTTTAAATCATTTACATGTATTGGTGCGCCGAATAAATTTAAATGAATAATATATAAGAAAATTAACTTAGCTACCACGAGAATAGTGCACAGGGAGTCTTCCCCCTTTTGTAAATTTGTAAATAGTGTAAATATTCTTTCCTTATCTTTATCTTCAATTTGTTCCCTTTATTATGTATCAACTTGCGATTTATTTTTATGTATGACTCAGACTTGATTTTATCAATTATTGCTCATTCTGAGATTTAACTTAATGTTAACGCAGCACCTCCCTTCCCTTCCACCACATATTATTCAATTTAGATGAAAGAGCAGATATCTATACATGGATAGATACTCTGAAAAAAAAAATTGATTAGTTAGTTACCACGAGAATAAATTTTTACAAAAAGCGTTGACAGTTGGCAGACCTGACTAACTGATTAAAAACACCTTTGCAGATATGCCAACTTGCTCCACTTTGTAAAAAAAGTATTTTCTAGTGATAATGAAATTTAAGTTATTTTTAGTTAAGTATTTTCCATTTGAATTCATTTTTCCACCACTGCATATCAATGTTAATAGCAATTTTTTAGCAATTATATTGTAGGGACACTCTTAATAAGGGGGCGTAATCATTACTGTACAAGGTTTACTATTTCATTTGTTTTACTGTTTATTTTACTACTTAAGTAACTTTTTACGTATTTCGCTATCATTTAGTAAATATTTATTATCTAATTCATTTAATAATTCTCGAATAAAGTATGCATTGTAAGGCATACAATTTTTTACATCATTTTAAAGAATGTAATTTTATATGACAAAGTACAAAATTTGAGCGAAATCCGTCGAATAGTTCTTCAGAAATTGAATTTTAACGAAGCAAGATACCTAAATTCGTTTTCTCAGAAACTATTCGACCGACTTAGCTCAAATTCTGTGTTTTTCTATGTAAAATTACTTTCTTTGAAATGATGCAATAAATGGTACAACCTAAAATTAAATTTCTTCGGACTATTATTGAGTAAAATTAAAGAAAATAATATATATTTAATAAAAATTATTTTTTGCGTGGAATTATTTTTGGATAAACGACTTTTATAATTGCGTGAAAAACTTTTCCCATTCGTTTACAGAGTTCTCGAGATATAGCGAAAGACAAAAAAAAAAGTAAAATTAACATTAAGAAGTCTAAATATTTGGATCGCTCTCCTAACTAAACTATTTGGACCATATTTCCCAGATAGTGTTTACCCCCTGCAGAAATGCGATTTCGTCGGGGGAAAAAAGGCATGCTTATTTAGAGAACGTTTTTGTGTTTGATTTCGTAACTTTGAAGTCATACAATCGAACCATTAAGATTGAGTCCTAGATCGCGAAGATCCGATCATTAAATTAAAAGTTATTCGAAACTTGCCCTGTTTTCTAGTTTTGTTACAAATTATATGACCACGCTTTTAAACAGTATTCATCGTAAAACATACCCGGATTAACAATTTAACGTCAGTCATAAAATAGAACATGTTATGTTTTAAATTCTTAAAATAAGGTTTTTAGTATAGGCCTAGAATATTTGCTTTGGTATATGCATTTTTTCTCTCTCTCTATTTCTCTCTCTCTAGTACTTTTGAGTGCTTCTCACACTATTGTATTGATATATTTCGCTATATTGATGCAATATAAGAAAGCACTCTTTTTGCGGATATAATCGCGTGAGCTGATGAAAAGTTTATATCTTTTATTTTCTGGATTTGTTAAAATTTTTTGTGCGCAATAAATAAAACTTATTGTTAACTTATCGTTTTATTGTTTTTATTTATTATGCTATATATATATATATAATATTTGTCTAATTGATAATTAAATACGAAATATTTCCTGATATATCCTTTTTTTCTTTAAATAGGTCCTGACGGCTGGGGAGAAAAATATAATGATTGTCAGGGTACCAGTCAATCTCCAATTGATATCCAAACAGATGATGTGGAACCAATAGAAGATTCTGAAGGGCTACAATTGAAAGATTATGATGAACCAATAACAAAAGTTATGATCGAGAATAAAGGATATACTGGTAAAAACTATGTTTACATTATATATCATACGATAGTGGAAGTCTAAGGAAGTCACTGTCAAGATTGAAAAATGTGCATTAAATGTTATGCTTTTATGATATTAACAGAAAAACCACTTAATATTTAAAATATTTGATTGTTTTAAAGATTTTCCATTTCGAAATTTCATTTTTTAAATTTTTTTATTATTTAGAACTNTTTATTCTTCATTTTGAACTTATATATATATATATATATATATAGCTTCTTTTTTATCTTTTTCTATAAAATATGGCTGGTTACAAACTATTGCGATTGTGCGACAATATAAATAAATTTTTTTAATTTAAAAAATAATTAAAATTAGGATATGACTTGTTTTTGAACAAAACCATATAACAAATATTATGCATTATTTCGAACAAGCGAAAATACTAATGATTTGTCATTTAGAAATAAAACAAAAACTTTATTTAAATCATAGACTCCATGTTTATGATAATTTTGAAGATTAAGAAATGATTTAGATTATGACTATTCGTGCTGAGCCGCTTACAAATTGCTATTTTGTTACGGCTTGGGACAACTTTTCCAACTAAATATGCTTCCTTAATTGGTTATTTTGCCTCTTTTTGGGTGCTTTTGTCCAGAGTAAATATCAATTTACATAATCCATCAATGAAAGAATAAATAAAGTAAATATTATTACTCCAAATAGGCTTTCTACTCTAACTTGTAATATATAGTATTACTCCAATTATGCTTTCTTCTCTAACTTGTAAATAGTGTAAATACTGCAAAAATATTACGAATAAATATTGATTTAATATTACGAGTAAATACTGATTCAGTATTACTCCAATTATGCTTTGCACTGCAACTTGTAAATGGAGTAAATACTGATATATTATTACCCAAATTTTGCTTTCTTTTGTTAATTGTAAATAGGGTAAATACTGATACTGATATTAGTACTCCGATTATGCTTTCTACTCTAACTCTCAAGTAGAGTAAATACTTATCAATTTATTATTGTTAATCTATATTCAAGTATTTTACTGGGAAATTTGCACCTTCTTTTTTTAAAAGTTGAAACTTATGCATTCCAGCTCACCTCATAAACTCGTGTCAACATCTGCATCGCAAATTCAAAGAGAAAAGAGCTCCTGGGGATGATAATTAACTTTTCATAACTATGACTATTCAAGTTAATCCACATATTATGAAATACTCCCTACGTCACAAATTGGTTGCAACATTTAAATATTTTTGTGCTGATTATGGATACCGATGATTTTGTTTGAACAATTTATAAAGATTTTAGGTCGCTATACACCATCAATCAACATCATAAACTAACTAAGTATTCCCTTTTCCCCCTCTGTAAATATCAGTACTAAATTAGGTTCAAAAATCCAGGATTCGAAAGCTCTTTAGACAATCTTCATTTCTGGAGGACTCTTGCAACAGTAATGGCATAAAATTATATTCTAGCTAACGAAATGGGAAATCCATTAGTAGTATAATTTTACTAGTGTCGATCTACTATACAATATCGAGAGTTATGATTCCACCCAACTTAAGAAGCAGCAACTAATTTGGGACAAATTATTGATCTAAGTGTAGCACCTAATTTGGGAGTAATTTTTTTCCTCGTTTTATTGTGAATTACAACCCTACATTGTGCTATTTGTTTCGACTGACGTCAAAATACCACTAATGTAACTGCTGTTACATTATTATAGCATTTACTAAATTTTGTAATATTTTATGTATTTCCAGTGAAAGTAACGCCTAATGATGACGTTGAGAGATCAGTTACACTTGACGGTGTTCCTTATAATTTAGTTGCTTTCTTTTTCAAATGGGGTAATAAATCAATAAATGATGATGAAGAGGCAACCATTACTCCTGGTTCCGATCATAAAATTGATGGAAAACAATATGCTATGGAAGTAAGAATTGATAAAATGTAATCTTCTTTCATAAAGAAATGTACTTTACTTTTTATATACAAATCAATTAAAACCGATATTTATAAGATACTTTTGATAATTAAAGGGGGTAAGTATTGCAACAACATGGCTTTGTATTTTAATCACTAGAGGTATTTTTAAATAATCCAAAAATACTTTATAATAAGAAGAATAATGAATTAAAAATGAACCTGGATCCATCGTTCCCACATCGGTCGTTTTATATATTTTGTTTATTATATTACATTATATTTATATATTTTGTTTTTATATATTTTCATTTTTCATACTTTGTATATATAGTTTTGTTTTAATGGTCTCGACAGAAATTCTATACTTGATAAAACGCTTTTAAATCGTTTTCGAAACTAACAGATTCCCGCGTCTATCGCTCAGAAATGGGACTGACATTTAAAAAAAAATATTGCAGTTATCGACAATTTGTTCGACGAAAAGTCAGTTGACAAAACACTTCAACCAAGTTCTCTCCAACCAATTTCAGCCAGAATAATGCGTTAAGACTTGAAGCGGAGAGATATCACCTAGTTAGAAGATCTGTCTTAAATACTAGAATTCGTTTGCAATAGTGTCTGGACATCTGAGGACTGAAAATTAAATTATGTGGACAACACTCTATGCCTTGTTTTGCACTGATGGGAGGAGTTGATTTTGGCAAGAGCCAATAAAACTATGAACCCATATTGCCCTGATTGCTATAGTGAGAGCAGCAGACTGTGGAACATGTTTTGCAGGCATGGAAAGGTAAATAAACAACTACGCAATATATAACTATATTGAACGATTAAGTGCATCCTGCAACCTGTAATATTACATTTTTACTCCAAAAATGAAGGATACGAACGATGCAACGTGCCAGAAGCTTTCAAAATTGGCTCAATGAGCATCAATTTGAGTTCCAACGCTTTTCCTGGCCACCGAAAAATTACAGATTTTTAACCAATTAAAAAAATAGATGTGACATGTATAAAAGGAAAGTTCAACATCAATCTCCTCTTCCATCTTATTTATATGATCTTAGAATCTGCGCAGTCAATGCATGTTTTCTCAGGACATAAATGCACTCCAGAAACTATTAAAATCAATTTATTTTCACGAATACAAGCTGATATTCATGCATAAAATTTTAATCAAATGCTTCTAATTTATTGTATGTAGCTTTTGTTTCAGATATATTTTATTGTCTTAAGAGTTATTTTATTAATTAAATGATATATCTTGAATTTTTAAAGCATTATTCAAAATAATACTTACTGTTAAATATTTAAATTATTATGGCAAAACATTAGATGTTATAATATTACTTGATTATTAAATGTCTCCTGACGAGAGTTTTATTCCATCAATCTCTCTTAATACTCTGTTAGCTGGAAGCGATTTCACTTATAAACTATTTAGTCTTATGCTCAAAAGTATGAATAAAAATAAGTATAAAATAACCAAAGAAAACCAAAGTATTTTTTACTGAGTGAAAAATTGATGCAATTACAGCTTTTCTTTGAAAATAATTATACACTGTTTAATATTAAAAAAAGGCAAAACTTAGCAAGTATTAAGAAATATCAAGAATTTACTTAACACGTTCACGCCATTGTGACCCACCGGTGGGTCACGCTAGATTCTCTCATCTTGGCGGCGCACCGAATTAAAAACTGGTAACAAATACATTTCATTTTATAGTTTTTCTCCGGGAATAATAAAAATTCATAACAACCAATTGTTTTTAACGGATGCAATTTTTAGATTCAATTGCTTCTTCGCCGTGATAAATTTCCTTACAGTGAAATAAATAAATTTCCTTACATTGTTGAGAATAGATCAACTCCTCCCGAATATTATCTAATATTGAAATAGTTCTTCTACCAGTATTTTCTCTTTTCCCGTACCAGTATTTTCGCTTTTCCCGGCGTGAACGTGTTAAAATTTCTTACAAAGTAAATTCGTATAATTTAACACTTTCAACTATGTTTCAGTACAAAGGTTACTGTTTATTATTGACTTTATCATTTAAAGTAAATTAGTTTATTAGTTTTAAATTATACAAGAAACCTAAAATTTTTTCCTGTATGAAATAGATGCAGATCGAGCATGTGAATGAAAAAGAAGATAAGGTTATTATAGCAGTCCTTTTTGATGTAAGTATATAAATTTTATTAAGATATGTGTAGAAAAATCAAAATAATATAATAAATTTCTTTATTTGAATTGAGTTGCTTGTACAATGCGTGTTATATAACCCGGAATTTTTTAAGGCGTAGTAATTAATATTAAAAAAATGTTTCAGCTAAATTAAAATACGATGTAACTCATTACGTGAGAATGTCAATGTGGAATTTTCAATCCTTCATTTTAAATCTGTTAGAGCATGGAGAAAAGTATAACTCCAAATTTTTTTAAATGGTAATAAATTTTACGTAATACTGATGCAATTTTGATTGAAGAAAATTGTTTTACAATGATTATGACTTCCCTGACATGTAAACAAATTAAACATATACATAAAACCTGTGCTCAAAGGGTAAAGTTTTGAAGTGTGGCCAAATTAAGCAGGTACTGCTTACTTAATTGTTATTTCAGTACCAGTATTAAACAAGTTCTGCTTAATTTAGTTGATATTTCCCTTCCTCTTGTAATATTTTTATCATTTTGAAATGGGTACTTTTGTACATAACATAAAACTGCTAGCTTGATTTCATTTACATTTTGTAATTTGTCCTTTAAAATTTCGAAGCATAAAATGATGCTAAAATTTGTGTACCTTAATAAATAATAAAGTAATAATTAATCGTTACATATTATTTTTTATGGAATTATCTTCTGGTAAACGAGACCTTTACGAGAAATAAGGTGTTTTTGAGTTTGACAGATGTAATAATACACACCTGTTGAGGGAAATGAGATTATGTTTTGCATCAAAAATAACCTCCTTAATTAACCTCATTTACACCTCACAAAATCAGCCTCATATGTAACTCAGATCTAATCTCAATTTAGATTATTAAAAATGTTTCACACCTCAAAAATACGTATTTGCTTGAAGTGTAGAAAAAAATAATCCTAACTTCTCTAAGCTAGTTGCTCTAAAGTCGATTTCCATCAAACTCAAGTGTAAATAAACCAACTTCATACACTTTGATTATACGCCTTGGGGGGTTGATCTTTTAAGGTTGTTTTTAAGAGCTTTAATGTGAGAAGGAACGACTGAGAGTCCATTTTGTGGGAACGTCTTGGCAGGGATGTCTAAAGTTTTATTCGAAATCTGTGAAGTTTCTGCATCTGATTCAGGTTTCTGTAGTCGTCACACTTTATTCAGGAACATAGTTGTGTATTTTTGTCGGCGAAATAGAAGCTCAAAACGTCTCCAAAGTTGCTTCGGTGCTCTTCCTTATAATCCTTTGCTGAACTCCAGAAACTGCTGCAGTATTCTTGCTCGTCTTTCCAGACTTTTTTCTTTTCCTTTTTTCCAGTGAACCGGCTCACTTAAGGTGTTCCTATCATTAGATTCGGATTTTTTATGGTCTCTCTGATTGGAGAGTGTTGTTACAGTCAACACTGAGGTAACAGAGGAACCCTCGGAAAAAATGGGTTCGGGCTCCGGTGGTGGCCTTCTTTCTTTCCCCTCATAAATGACAAATAATTTTTGGCCTACTGTATCAACTTTCATTAAGTTTTCTGGATCCAAGTATACTATAGTCGTTTGTTTGTCGCAGTCTGTCCGTCCAGTTATGCTACTGGTTGTACTCGCGCTACAAACTGTCAAATTTCTATTGACGCTAAATTTTATTCCTCGATCCATTTCGGTTTATATCTCTATTCTCATGGCACCAACACAAGTGTCATTGCACCAAGAAAATAACAGCAAGTAAGATTTAAATCGTGTGTCAATGAAATCGTGTACCTTCGATGGCATTTTGAAGTCAATGGAAGTAACCCCTAAGAACGACCAGCCTCCATTAATGACATTTTACTGTGAAACTGAGAGTGGTCGTTTCCGAGAAGTTTCACTATGTATAATAATAATAATAATAATAATAAGGGGAATAAAGATAAAAAATATTAGAGATTATATTAGTAATTTTGTCACATAAAAATATACTTCTTTTTACGTAGGATACTGAAGACTCAAATCCAACAATCGAAGCCATTCAGAGTCCAATTGAAAAATATAAATATCTAGACGATACCTACGACGGAGATTTGGAAGAGGACTATAGTACATGTATTAAACTTTCAGATGTAGTTGAGAATGGTTCTCCTTACTTTCAGTACAATGGTTCTCTACCATTACCTCCATGTACTGAAAATATAATATGGTTGATTCTTAAAAATCCACAAACTGCTTCGACCGGTCAAGTAAGTACGTTTTATTATACCTTTAACATACAAAAACCGACGATTTCTTCACTATTCAGGGATACGAACTGCTCCATTATATACAAAGATTTTAAGAAGTTGTAAATTAAAATGTACAAGATTTTGGTTGGTTCTGAAAAGTTTTTCTCAAGATGACCGGAAATGTTTTTCATGCATCACTTCCTAAAGGTTTACATTAATATCAGAAAAATGCATGTTTTAAAGCACTTTTTATTAAACGGCGTTTTCAAAGCTTTCATATATAATAAACTTTTTAACAGTATAGCCTCATATATTTTGGTATTTAAAATTTTATCAACGAAACAATTTAAAAAAAACAACATATTTTATGCCGTTTTAGAACTTTAAGGCAGCATATAAAATTAAAGTAAACAATTGCGAAAAGTAGTTTTATTGTTCAAAATGTTTTGAACATTATCAGCGTAAATTCTATATTTAAATATTAGTTCAAAAGTATAATTTTTTATGTTACAAAGCAAAATTTTTTCGTTTTTGTGATAGATTTTTGTAACTACAATGTTGCAGTTTGTTGTTTGAGATTCTATCATTTTGTTTCCAAGTCCATAAACATCTTTTGAAATGATTAGACAAAGGTTCTTTATTGAGGAAAGGTTGGGTGATCTCGCAGGTCAGGTATAAATGGGTTTTCTAGGAATTCTGAATCAGTTGTCATTCTTGAAGTGTATATGAAAGCAGCAGCCTGCTGAAAAATTATTTTGTCTCCTAGAAAACTTTCTGCAAACGTTAAGACGCAATTTTCAAGTATCCAACATTTTAAATGCATCGCACAAAAGTAATATTTGATTTTCCTATGCGATAAATTGAAATCACTACTGATCCTTCATTTATTTGTCGACTCGATTTTAGGTCCTACTGGTGATGTAGATGGTGCCAATAGTTTGTGCATGCATTAGTTCCCCCGACCAACTTTTTATTTTATTTAATAACAGTCGTTGAACTACAGATCTAACTTTTTGAGTTTACTACTAGCAATGTTCAACATCGTAGCCTTGTAAATTTACGCCCATTTCAGAAGACAAAGGAGCTCCTAAATCAAGTACAGGGAGAAATTTGCCTTTGCGGAGGAATTTTTGATGGAACTAACCCGCATTTGCTTTACATGGAGACGAAAACGATGAAACATACTTTTTACCTTGTTCTTTTAAAAGGAAAATATGAGTTAGAATTTCCATAATTATAGCAATTTTTTTATTATTCCATTAACGACTTGCTGAATGCTGACAACTAGTTTTTAGCATAAATTCTCAAACTATCTGGATTTTTTTTAAATATTATTTTTAAGACAGATTAACGAACTAAAATTTAAAAATATTACGCTCAAGTTATGCCTTTTTATTAGATGCAGAATCTATTATTTGTACAACCTACTATTGTTTAGCAGTAGCCTAAACAAGTTTTTTTAAATTGTTCTTTTACAGATATCGAAATTTCAAGATTTGTACTCTGTTAAAGAAAGTGATGCAACTGGAGATGAGAATAATGCATGTCACATTGTTGACAATTATAGGCCAATACAGGAATTAAATGATAGGACTGTTTCTTCAGGATGAAAAAGACATGGAGTACAATTATTAAGATTCATTTATTTACACATTTCTTTGTTTTGAATTTTAATCTGCAGACATGAATGCGCAGGTTTCTGTACTTATTCTCATGTTATTGTTAATCAATAAACATTTTAAGAAGCATAAGTTTTGCAGAAAAAGTTTTGTTTTATCTGTATTTTGAAAAATAATTTCTAAAGCAGAAAAATGGAGCAATGATGCCAATTACTTCACTTTCCACAAATTTTATGATATTTTATGATGTGTAAGTTTTCCATTATTTTATGATGTGGCAGTGATGCAAGCGTACTCCGGACAGCAGGTAAATATTTGTGAGTAATTTTAGTCATTTACTGTATAATTCTTGGTTTAGTAAATTCTATTTATAGGGTTCTTACTAGACACTACATCTAAATAATTCAAAGGATAATGTTATACGCATCTTTGTTAAATCTAATCAGTTTTGAGCCTTTTAAAAAGTTAACAAAATTAACCTAAAATCCTCAAAGTTTAGTCTGTAGTTCTTTCCGTTTCTTAAAATATTTCGTACAATCTGCAGCTGTTGGCATTTCTGGTGTGGTAGAGAATTAAACTATACACCTTGCAGAATTTTAGTAATTTAAGAAAATATTTTAATAAGAAAAATGTAGAAAAATACATATTTGCATGTATTTTTTTATGTAGTGTTTGCTTAAATCAAATTAAATCTAAACTAGGAATAGATAGTAAGTTATATTATTTGCTACAACTAGAATCCCCCCCCCCTACAAAGCTGAGTAAGTTGGCCTCTCTGACGGAATATTGTACTCAAAAGATGGACTCATAAAATATGAAAACAAATTTGATTACTTTAAAAATTTTGTGATTCTTTTCACAACTATATAACTGTCAACTTGTTTGGCTAGTGAGAAAGATTTACTACAAATTAAGAAGTTAATATTTTACGGAGAGAGGATTTTCAGAGCCCTTTAATAGAAAATCTAGTAAAAATAAGAAAGTTAGCAAATATATGTCTAAAAATTTGTTTAATTTATGAATATGATTGCAATGTCTTATTTACTTGTTTACCACTACAGATTGTATTCTCATATATATAAAAAAAATTTCTGTAGGTCAGTCTTAAAATAGAAATTGGGTTCATGCGTACAAATTATTAAATAGTCTAGATAGCTGTATACCTGCCAACGTTCACTTCTTCGGAGAACGGATTTTTCAAGTGGTAGTAAAACAAATACTGAAAAAAATTTTACTCAAAAATATATTTATATTTTGACCAGGACGAGATTTGCTTTCGTAATGACTATTATGCTTTTATATATTTGTTATAATTATTTATATGTATTGGTGGTCAAACACTCATTCATAATTATTAAAAAGGGTAATATGAGTTTCGCTACCGCTTTAAATATGAAAATAAAATATTTCAGTAAAGCCGAAGTAGTTGACAGGGACGTAATTGCAGAGATGCCAACTGCATACCTGCCAACTTTCACTCTTTCCGATTATGGATTTTCAGAGTGGTTGTAAAACAATGAACGAAAAACAATCTTACTCAAAAATATATTTAAATTTTGATCCCGTTGAAATTCGCTTGTGCAAGGATTATTATGCATTTATATATTTATTATAATCATTTATATGTAGTGGTGGTCAAACTCATTTATAATTATCATTATAATTCAAAAAGTTAATTGGAATAACATGAGTATTGCTACCACTTTAAATATGAAAATAAAATCTTCGGGAAAATCCGGAAGAGTTGGCAGGTATGCTACTGCTCCGGATACGCCAAAATATTTAAAACAACGGTAAACAACTACAAAGAAAATTTTGAAATTATTTGACTATTTTTGCCAGCTTTTTAAAACGTATAGCATGACATAAGTACAATAAAGTGGTGAATAATATAAGCCTACGAATTATTTAGAAGTAGTGGTGGATAAAAATCTACTAAATTGAATTTATTAAACCAAGAATCACAATTGATAAATTATCACTTTAAAATATATATTTGCTTTCCGGAGCAAGTTGGCATCTCTGTAACTGCAATAAAGTTGCTTTTCATATATAACTTTGAATTTTCGATTTTAACACGTTGAGCGCCTCGTCAGCCATCGGTGGCTGACACTGGACATTCCATTTGGGCCGCGTCAGCCACCGGTGGCTGACACTGAAATTACATTTAGGACGTGTTAACCACCGGTGGCTGACACTGAAATTACATTTAGGTTGCGTCTGCCACCGCTTGCTGACACTGACCTTTCACATAGGCCGCGAGAAACAGCTGTCTGACAGCGTATAACATGATATAGAACTATAAAATTTACACTCTTTTATGGAATTGCAGAAAATTTATTCAAAATTTACATAATTATTGTAATTCTTGGTTTAATAAATTCAATTTAGTAGATTTTTATCCACCAATATTTTTAAACAATTCGTAGGCATATATAATTCATCACTTTAATCAGATTTGTCATGATAAACCTTCTAAAAATAGCAAAATCCGTCTAATGTTTGCAAATTTAATTTGTAGTTATTTACCGTGGCTAGATGGGCAAGTCATGTAAGATTAGCGTGGCGTTCAACGTGTTAAGTAGAAAAAATATTACTTTGAAAAATGCTAAACTAAAAATAACTTTACTTTTATTACTACTTCAAAATGAATTTTACAAAGCGGAACACGTTGGCATCTATGGAAACGTTGAAGAAGACTTTTCAGAATAGGACTACAAGCACACTTTTTAAAAAAAATATTAATTACAAATGGCATCTGTTTATGAATTATGAATAAATAATCCGTCCATTTAATGGTTGAATATTCCGATGGTTGTTGATAAGAATGCAGGTTTCTTTATTGCCAGTTCCCCTTCTTACAGAATACAATAAAAACAGCTTTCTCATCTAAAAATTAAAGCAAAAAACTTATCGTTAATGAATTTACTAACGATATACTTATTAACAAGAATAAAAAGCAGAAGAGGAATAAGCTTTTTCCAAACAAATATGCAAACTTTTACGTGTTTTATTCGTTCCGTTATTATTTAAAGCGGTGGCAAAATATATGCCTTAACATTTGTTTAAAATGATTTTGACCAATAGACATTATGGGTTATCACAGGCGACTGAAAATGCAAAAAATGCTGACTAATAAAAGTCAAAATTTCATTAAAATTTGCGACGGTTTAAAACAGATTTCTTTTACAAAGTCCCAGCCGTCCTTGAAGAATTTTAGTTGTGGTAACAAATTTAGGCTAATGCTAGATTACATTTCTTACTTTAATATAATACTTTGTCGTTAAGTGCTTTAGCAAGCTGGAATTTTCATGCATGTATATTTTTTCTTTGGAAAACAATTTTTAGTCGTAGTTACACAGAAATTAAAATATCAACTTCTGTTTCGTTTTCGTTACCACTTTTTAAAATTTTCAAGGCTCGTGGGAGCCGAAGGCCTTGTTTCTTTAGACAAGCGCCTTATCTGGGCGTCAGCGTTAAGTTGACGTTACCCTGACGCCAACAAAATACTGGTTCATTGGCTCAAGGCCTGGTTTCTTAGGAGAAGCGTCTTAACTGGGCGTCAGCGTTAAGTTGATATAATTCTGACGCCATAAAAATATCTATCTATCTATCTATCTATCTATCTATCTATCTATATATCTANTTTGTATTACATATATATATATATATATATATATATAAAACTATCAAGTCTCTATTTTATATTTTAAAGCAGAGGGGGTCGAAATATTTTTAAAATCACATTTTCAAAAATTAAAAGGCAAAAATTACTTCTTTATTATTTATAAACCTAATATATTTTAGATATACACAGATAGATATCTAATACAAAGATATCTAATACACAGATAGATATACATACATATCTAATATATATAATTCTCTTACGTGGCTCCCAAATTTTGGCTGTATTTCTTTTAAGCCGGTCGCAACGTTTGCTTTGTTTTGTTTACGTTATTATTTCTCTTACACGGCGAATCGACCAAGGATTGCCGCTAAAAATGTCACATGCCAAATCTAGCTGAGGTGGCTCAGCATATAGCGCTTTTAAAAACGGAAACTGAAGTAACCAGAGAGCATCAGTTGCGGCAATCTCATACTATTAAGCTAGGCAGAAGTGAGTAGTCTTTGTCGATATATCTCTGTTTTAGTATTTTGTTGAAAGCGCTTTTTTTCGCGAATTTATTTGGTGATTTTTGATTTATATCACGAAATATACTATAGCACATTTCTAATAGATTTAACGAGTTACAGGTCATTTATTTGAATTCAAATTTATTTTAATGACTTAGTATTTACTAAGAAGATGAAATTTAAAAAAAATTTTTATTTTTTATATGGATCTGAATGATTGTCTTGAATTCTTAGAATTTTGTGCATTTGTAATGTACCTAAGTTATTAGCGAGTGAAACGAGCTTGGTTTGCGAAGCAAACCATATAAAATCGCGTAGCAATTTTTAGGGGTTGGCGAGCGTTACCGAGCAGGGGGTGCAGCCCACTAGTTAATGATATTATATAAACCAAAGTTTTACCATAACTGGAAAAAAACTTCATCTAAAACGGAAAAGGTGGCATCCGTACAATTTAGACACAAAAGGAGAATACAAATTAATGATTGAAAATTATACATCAAGAGTATTTGCATGCATTATTTAACTTCTCAACTGAAAATGAGTGTCATAAGTTCAAATTTCATACAAAATGGGTCAGTATAGTGTAAAGAATGATATGAGCAAATTATAAAAAAATATGTAGACAAAACCAGCCGTAAATTTTTGCTAAAATAATTTCTGGACACATTAGTTCCCTTTAAATATTTCAGATAAAAAAGAAAAATGCTATTTTTGTTCTGTTATTAATAAACATTTTAATTCATTTCCTCAATGATAGTTTCTGGAAATTGATGCATTTATAAATGTTTAAAGTTAACTTTTGCCGTTTTTAATTTTCTGAAAAAATACGTTTCTCTAGTTAATAATGTGTTACGTGCTCTTCGCAAGTATTAGATATATATTTAAAAATTTAAAACTTGCAAAAATTATTATTATTTTTTTAAAAGTGGAGGTGTGGGGGATCGAACCCCAGGCCTTTCACATGCAAAGCGAACGCTCTACCACTGAGCTACACCCCCGCGCTTATACTCTCTTACATAAGACATCAGTAAAAAGAAAGAGATACGTTATACCATGCATAATTCATTATAAATACGTAGCACCTGTTTGTTGAAAGACTTCATATAAAACTCCAATTCGACTAGAAAGATGTTAAAAAGAAATGGCACCCATTTGAGAAGCAGATACCATTGCATTGTTTCATATACAATTTAGCTCTCATTTAATTTTCGGTCACTATAAAAATTTGTTATGTATCAGGCAAAATTATTATTTTGTAATTGCGCGAAAGTTAATTCCTAATAAAGTATTACAATAATCCTAATAGTATGCATTGATAATAAGCAAAGCCTACACTTTTTCACTCCCATAAAGTTAGAAAGTTAAATTTTGGACCATGAGATAAGAAAAAAAACTTAAAAAATTCCATTTTGATATTTTGTAATTATCGGCTTAATTAGACAAATTAACAGCAATGCTATATAACACGTTTTTACCAAAACAGAAGTTTTAAATTTGAACCAGGAGTTTATTTTAAGATATATAGAAAAACCAAAAAAGTTTCCTTTCTATATTTTGTAATTATCGGGATAATGTAATGTTGAGTGCAATTTGCCCAAAATTGACAGAAATGCTATTTGGCATGTTTTTACGCAGTTCTGCGTCAGTTTTACGCAGGGTAGTTTCAAATTTGGACCATGTGTTTTTTCTACGAAATAAATGGAAGAACTAAGAAAGTTTAACATTATTTCCAAACATTATTTCCATTAAAGTTTAAGAATTTCGATTATTGGGGTAACTTGGTAGTAATTCGTCAATTTTGCAATTATACTAAATAACGTTTTTATACAGAAATTGAAATCGCAAATTCTAATCCTGCTTTCTTTATCAGACAAAAAGAACAACAAAAAAATTAGATTTAGATATTAGTATTGATCGGGATAATTAACTTAAATGCTAAGTAACATATTTTTATTGAAATAAGTAGTAAATTTAAGCCATGTGTTTTTTAGAGAAATAAAAATTTAAATATTTGTAAATATTGGGGTAATCGGAAATGCACAGTATTGTATTGTACAGTATACAATTTTTCACATCATTTTAAAGAATGTTATTTTAATTGACAAAATACGAAATTTGAGTGAAATCTGTCAAATTTTTCGTGAGAAATCAGACTTTGAAAAATTCGTATTTTGGTAATTCGATTTCTCATTCGATTCGACCGATTCTACTCAAATTTTGTATTTTGTCATTTAAAATTATCCAAAGATAATTCCGCATAAAAAATAATTTTTAATAATCCTTTTTTTGTTATCTTTTTAATAATAGCAAAAAAAAATTTAATATTAAGGTATAGAAACTTTTACATTACTTTAAAAAGTGTAATTTTACATACATATACAAAATTTGAACAAAATCGGTTGAACGGCTTCTGAGTTATCAAATTTTAATAAAGTCGTTTGTTTATAATTTAATTTCTCATCAATAGTTGAAAAAAAAAAGATATGTTTATTCAGTAAAAGTACGTTTTTGTGTCCTAATTTGTAACTTAAAATATCATCTGCACTCATTAATTAACATAATTAGGGTCATCCCGTCGAACTATTACGATTGAGTCCTAGTACGTGGAAATGAGATAAAAAGATTGTCCAGGGCAGTTCTCCTTTTTTGCGAACTGTGCATATACATACCTGCCAACTTTTGATCCCTTCAATTATGACTTTTCCCAGTGGTAGTAAAATGGAATTAAAATTTCAATTCTATGCAAAAAAAAGTTGTTTTTGATCAAGCTTTAGCTGACAACCGTAATATTAACCTATATGCTAAATTTTTTTAAGAATAGTGGTGATCAAAATCATTTAAAAAAAATAAGTTTATAAAAGAAAAAATAATATATATTTACTACCACTAAATATAAAAAATATAAAAATCTTAAATATAAAAATAAAATTTAACGTCTAATGCGTAAAATTTGGCAGGTGTGCAGATACATCACCAGTAACTAATATTTGTTAATTAAGATATATATATTTGAAGTTTAAGATGGTCTTATTAAGGTTAAACATATTTAAAAACTTCATCGTGCGAAAGATATTTATTTTTATATTTATACTTTTCTCAATTTAACATCAAGAAAAAGTGTTTGTTCTTTCGATTGTTTACAGCTTCCATCTTACTTCTAACAATATATTGTATAATTGTATATCCAATCTATTGAAATTATTTGTATGTAGTGATGGACAAAATTTTTTAAATTCTGATTTATTACATGATTAGTACATGCACAACCTTTAGTATCACTTGAAAAAAAATTCTGTGAAACTAAAGAAATTCTGCAATAGCTATTAATTACTTTAATTTAAAACTAATTATTTTGCGTATTAAAAACTGAGACAAAATGGAGGTGTGGGGGATCGAACCCCAGGCCTTTCACGTGCAAAGCGAACGCTCTACCACTGAGCTACACCCCCGTTGTCATCCGAGTTTGATTCTGCATTCAAAACAAATAATATACCTCAATGCATAATGAATAATTTATCAATGGAATGTCAGCTGCTGTTTGCAAATATGACTCTGGAAAACGTTGTAAGTTCTATTTCTCAGAATTTCCGCCAATAATAATAAATGACACTTTAATTTAATAACTTCTGAAAATTGAAACATTTCTGTAACTGCAACTGGATCGTAATTTGGCTTCTAACTTAACAAATTTTATTTTATTTCAGGAAGGTATGTGTTTATTACCTTTTTTGAAAAGTAACAGTTTTTTTGAAAAACCATATTCAAATATATTTTACTTTTTAGAATTATTTTAGAATTGGAACTATTTCCCCTGATAAACTTTAATTTCATTTTCTATTTTATAAGGCAAGACTAACGGTTTTCACTGTCCAACGCCTCCTTTAACTGAAAGTCTCCACAAAGTAGTCCGATCTGACCACTATGAAGATAAACTAGTTTATGAAAGATCCATTTAATAGAATATATAGTAAAGATAAAAAAGTGGTAGCAAATATGTCTAATTTTTTTTTTAAATTTATGAATACAGTTGGGGTTTTTTATTTACTTATAAACCACCAAAGATTCAATTCTTAAATATATATGACAGTTTTCTCTCAATTACTTATGAAATCGACCGATCATCAGCTACGCAGCCCCTGCATGGAGCACAACCACTGTTAGTCAAAAAAAGAAACTGGAGATTACTCAAAATAAATTCCTCAGATATATCACAGGAGCCCCCAGATCCATGAGAATGAAAGATCTAAGACGAGAGTTAAAAATCAACAAAATAGATGAGCACATAGCTGAACTATGTGCAAGTTTCTTCAGAAATGCAGTCTCTTGTCATACGTGCAATTACTTCAAAAATTTTGATTTTGAGCTCATCAAAGACAACATAAAATATAGCCCGGCAACCGCCTTTTTCCTATCCGACGGAGTTTTGTCCCGTAAATTTTGTAAATAGCTGTAAATACTTGTAAATAATTTTGCGCATTTATTATGTATTTCCCCTTTTCCCTGGGGCTATGTGGCTACTGTGCACCTGTGAAGCTCGGGGTAATACCTCGAAGGGAGGCGAGGCAGTCTGCCACAAAACCTCTTCTCTCTCTCTCAAACTTGTTTGTTCAATCTCACTACTTCATTTTAATTTTCTCTCAGTAAAAGATACTGAACCCCAACTTTCACCTTTCAGTTGCGCTTCGGCGATTTATTATTTATTTCCACTCAGATGAATTAGTTGGAGCCCCTAGCGGGGCTGATGCTAAGATAACCAACACATATGAGTATGAGAGTACTTATGAAATACCATAATTCCCGGATTACGACTACCATTCAAATTACGAGGATTATTTATAGGAAGCAGCCGCAATCTAGAATTCATGGCAGAATAAAAGGTCGTTAGGTTCCATACCAGCAATACTGAATTCCCATCATATTATTGCAATATTTAAAACAGAAAGCTTTTTTAATTACAGTGGTGTTGAAAAGGAAAAAAAAAAGTTTCAAGGATTTTTACTCACCACTTACGTTCTAAATAATTCAAAGGCCTAAGTTCTACGTCACTCTGTAGCAATTAAACCTTATTGAGCCTTTTAAAAAAGGGTTAAAATTTACCGAAAATCAGCAGTTTTTAGTTTGCAGTTTTCTCGAAAAGGAGCTGTTGATATCTCTCTAACACTCTAAATATTACGATTAGTTGGAAAATCTAATCTATTTACAATTTATATTTTTCTACTTAAAAAGTAAACTACTTTGTATTTGCTTGATATCAAGAGAGTATTAGAATGAAAATAGAATTTTTCGTTTGAAAGCTCTGGTTAAGAAAATTGTTATCCATAATGAAAAAGAAGTACGTACTTGAGATCTTTTAACATATTTAATTGCTTTGCAAACCAACCATGTGACATTCTCTGTGCAGGGTGGCGTAGTCAAGGATCCACTGTAGCGATAAAGAGAACACCCATTGTCAACAAGATCTTCCAGATATATTTTGGCCATCTTCCCCTTTTGCCTTATAGTTCCTTCAAATGTTTCATCTTTATACAGATATTCATCCCTTGCAGATAAAATTACATCCAAAGCCAGATTTTTTACATTGCTCTCCTAAGTAAAAAAGCTATTTATGTATTTATTTAAAATAAAAAAAAATATCTGTAGGAACAACCTATGAATTTAAGGATTGATTATTTTTACCAAACTTTAAGGAAGGCCAGTGATAAATTGTGCCAGATGATGTGTTCTGATTTTTTTTTTCATTAGAGAGTTGGTATTCTGTAGCAATTTATCACTTAGACTTTTCATAACATAGTCAAAAATTTGGTTTTATGAAATCTTATATCTTAAAATGCAAATACTCTTATGTTCATGCAATGCAAATACTCTTATGTTCAAGCAATGCAAATACTCTTATGTTATAAGCAAGTTAAGGATAATGTCAGCCCAGGCAAATAAAAGCTCAAAAACAAAACAAGCGTGACTTAATCATAAAACCCATTTATTAACCAAACGATAAAGAGCAAAAAATATGGTGTGTGCATGATATAATTCATAAAAACTACGATTTTTGTTCCTTGGAGCAATTATAAAAAATATCACTTTTTCAAAAACTTAAAATTACTTGGTTGGTATGATGTGTATATTCCATGCGATATATATTTTCCATGCATTGTATATCTTCCATACGATGAAATATAAGCAGTACAAAGCCTAAGCATGTACTAAATTATCGAGCAGATTTTAAGGAAGATTATTCAGCAAGCACTACACTCCAAAGTTCCGGGACATATCGCTGGTTCAAAGTTGAAACGACATTTCTACACTCACTTCTCATGTTATTTGAATGAGAAGTGAGTGCAGAAGTGTCGTTTTAACTTTGAACCAGCGATGTGTAGGAGATGGTAGATGGATTGCAACTTGTCGGCCAAGCATATCCCACACATGCTCTATCGTATTAAGTCAGTAAGATGGCAATTTCATACGGGTAATATTCTCAGATTGAAGGCATTCATTTATGCTGTTTGCTCTGTGAGGAGGAGCGTTATCATCGGTAAACACAAATTCTTCTAAACAAACGTACATGCTGTTCTAGAATGATGTCCGGACAATTTTAGCCAGTCACAGTTCCAATATGAACACGCAGATTTGTTCTAGAACTCATTATTTATCCACCTAAAACGAATAATGCCGCACCATCGCAACGGTTTCATGCAATGGTGCTGTCTTGGTGGTAGCGGATACCTGGTGCTCTCCAAATGAACATTCGACGTAAATAAGACTTTAAGCTAAACCTAGCCTCGTCGGATAGCATCACACTATGTGATGATGTCCACATTGCATGTTCTTTACTCCATCCTAATCGCAGATGACCGTCGGTTCATGATTTGCCTTGAAACTGTGGTACCCGTCGTTGCAAATATTTGACGAGACAGGTCGTATGCTGTGCCCCATCTTGTTCTTTTAGCAGTTACTTCCAAATACTCGTCTTCATTCGGCTTTGAAACTCAGAGGCAACTATTTCGCATGTTCTAAATTATTTGTTAACGTCTACTGACAATCAATCGTCTTGGACTCGTTGCCAAAGCCTAGAGATGACACTTTGGGGCAATTCCAAGTTTCTTGATTACTTCCATCTGAGTACACCCACTATCCTGACTGCCGATAATTCTGCTACTTAAAAAATCACCCACATACTTCCTCTGTGTTCCTTTATTCAGTTATGGCACTGAGTGGCTTACAAAATGCTTGTAAGCAATTTTGCTACCATTCATTACATAATCCTCTCTTAAACTCTCGTCATTGTGACGTATTAACAGCATCATTTGATGGCTTCCTGTAATTTGCATATTATTCGTGAAGATGTGTGGGATATTTTTACTTATGAAATTTTTACTTCAGTGTTCAATTTCTGTGTGATTTTGAATTGATTGTAATTTATGGACATGAGTATAAATTAACCGAAACGTTTGACGGGAAAGTGCACTTACCTTAATATAGGCTACCTATTTTCCCCTATCTGCAATAGCTGATAATGCTTCGATTTACAGTGACTACAGTGTTAATAAAAAATATTCCCCGTGAGAGACAGATCAGGAGTGAAAGTATTTTCACCCTTGGGCTAACCACAGAAGATTTTCATGGTTCACTAGACCATATAACGTAAATGCGATTTTATTTTTCACCAAGAAGTCCTAACAAATGTCTCTTAGTGTGATTTAGTAGTTCACTTGTCTTCTGATTTAAGTTCAAAAACACGTGGCTACAGAATTCAAAGATGAAAAATTCACTCATTCGATATGGATTAGCTGTTCAATGCCACTGATGAAATAACAAAAGGGGTTTACTAGGGAAAAAATACCATAGTTTCTTAAACCTATGTGTCTGAACTTCCGATTACCTTTCGCTAAGTATTGAAAAAAATAATATTCACATTTTTGTCAGATTGTAAACCACGAAACTCAAACATTACTTTTTATTATAAGCAGAATTGAAAAAATAATAATAATGAGATTCGAACTGAAGGAGCCGCTTAGGTTGCATTTGATAATGTGCTGTCTGACAAAAAACTTTCGATCGAAATTTCCTGCTCTGGAAATTGTTAACCTTTTCATTACGAGTGCCGTATTCAGCTCACATCAACGAGAGGCCCTGTAGTGTACAAGGGCTGTATTTAGCCGGTATTATATTTATCGCTATATAACCAGAGCAAATTACCGCTGGCTAATATTCCATTGACGTATAAATTTTTATTTTATATCCATCGTTGAACAGCCGACCCAGATTTGGGTTTACGACCACTATTGCTCAACTCCATACCGATGCATACCTGCCAACTCTCCCGGATTTTGCGGGAGATTTTATTTTCATATTTAAAGTGGTAGTAAATATATACTATTTTTTCTTTTATAAATTTAATTTTTAAATGATTTTGATCACCACTATTCTTACAAAAATTAAGCTTATATATTAATATGCGTTACTATCATGGTTGTCAGCTTAATTTTTTTCAAATACAACTTATTTGTTAGCTTAAAATTGAAGTTTTAATTCCATTTTAATACCACTTGGAAAAATGATAATGGAAGGGATTAAAAGTTGGCAGGTCTGCCCTTGCAATTTTGAACCCAATCCAGATGACAAGAAAACTCCTGGATCAAGTATTGGGAGAAATTTGCCTTCATGAAGGACTTTTTGAAGGAACTAATAAAATGTTTTGCGTAGCATGGAGATCCTCCCACGGTCAGCCTAACAACAAGGGAACTCTAACTCATAATCCGTCTACCACTGAAGATATTTTGCCTTTATTGTGGTAGGTGCGAGCCGGAAGCGGAATTCTTATCGACCAGCTATTGCTGCGATTCGTACCCGGTCTCCTCATTGGAAGGCTAATGCTCTATCTCTTGAGCCACAACGGTTCCCATTGACATATATTGGATTAAAAACCACGAAAAGTGTATTTCGAATGCTCTTAGTAGTTTTGTAAGTAAGATTGACATTCTCCTTCGATTGATAGAATGGTAGGTAAAACCGAAATACAAAGTGAAAAAGAAGACAAGAATTTAATTTATATGGACTTGTGTGTCGACCCTTGTTTTAAAATTTATCATATTGAATTGAATTAGTAAAATCTATTTGATTTATTAAAATTTTCATTGTTATTTATAATTCTTAGAAAATATCCAAATATCATCTTAAATCTCCAAACATTCGAGCATCAACTTACCGACAACTGGCGGCACGGTTCAGTGACGTCACTTCAGCGGTGTGGACTGCCGTAATGAAAGGGTTATATTGCTGGTTCAAAATTAAAACGACAATTCTGCCCTCACTTCTCATGTTGTTTGAATGAGAAGTGAGTGCAGAAGTGTTGTTTTAATTTTGAACCAGCGATATAGTCTTAGATATAAAAACTAGTTGGACCAAACCAGCTGTCAGAAAATTGTGCTCGCGAACCACAAGTTATATTTTTGTGTTATTAGAAAACCGCTGATAATTTATTTTAAAATAAGCGACTGCTATTTGTAAAGTATAATTATGCTGAGCATTTAATATTTCATGAAAAACTTACTTGAAATAAAACACCAACAACTGCAAGTTTACCTTGATCGTTTTTGTGTACAAAATGAACCTGTTTGGAAATAAATAACATTTAAATACAAGAAGTCCAAATATTAATGCTTCAAGTAAAATTTCTTAACCCTTCACATTCCGATGTCCTTTCTGATGACACAATAACCCACTTCGAAATTCAATTTTTTTTCATGTATTCATATATAGTAACCACATTAATTTATGATTGTTAATTGTCAGAAAAAATTATTGTGTTGTATATTTTAAATAATTTAGTTCTCGCATATGTTTAAATAGTATTTTTAAGTACTCCGACTACAAAGTGTAAGACTTGCTTTTCAATACAGCTATCCATATTTACAATAACTTTTCTCTAACTGTTATGTCTCATTTAATTTTTGTTAACTGTTATTTCTTATAACTGTTATTTCTAATAACTGTTAATTCTTATGAATGTTATTTCTAATAACTGTTATTTCTTATAAATGTTATTTCTAATAACTGTTACTTCTTATTTATTATTATTTCTTATTTATTTCTTAATGTAACAGAAATGTTTTAACTCTCATTTTAATTTCAACATAACTAATTCACTTTAGCTTTGAGCATCCTGAAATGCTTTTTTTTTTCAAATTGGGTAGTGGTAAATTTAATAATTCAAAGAATTATTAGTTCTGCATTCTAATAATTCTCTAACAGAACAATTTGCATATCACTTTTTCTTCTTATCCAGATTATAACCGCCTTGAAAATGTCACTGGTGCTTCGACGAAGGTCTTCAGTTTAATTTTTAACCCTCTGAGTACTTTAAAATGCTGTTCAAAATAATGCAAGCATTATTTTATTCATAATGTAAGATGCATTATTAAGGCCGATCACTGGTCTAGTGGTTATTGTACTGGACTACGGGGCCAGTGGTTGTGGGTTCGAATCCCAGCGTAGGCATGGATGTAACTTTCTCTCTCTGTGTTGTATATCCTCTCTTCAGTGTGATTGTAATTCTCCCTATAAACGGGTTTGTTTGTTGCCCACTAAGTAACGATAAGAGAATACCAATTCTGACATTTCTGAGGCCAATGAGAAATAGACTCAAGTACGCGACATTAAATAAAAATGATGCATTCTTATTATCTAATTAAATCTATTATTTGACTAATATTATTAACTAATAAGCATAAAATAATATGGTACAGAAATGTTTAGTTGCTCAAATTTTAACATATTGAATGCCACGGGGGTCACCGGTGACCGGCGAAGCTAAGCTTATTAAAAACACATAATTCAAGCAAATTTTTAACTTTTTTAATATCATTATCGTTACTAAAATGGTTTGAATAAATTAATGCCATATGGAACATACAAAAATAGTTTTATTTACATACACAGAGATGCCAACTTGCTCCGGAAAGCGAATAAATATTTTCAAGTGGTAGTTTATTAATTGTGATTCTTGGTTTGATAAATTCAATTTAGTTGATTTTTATCCATCACTGTTTCTAAATAATTCATAAGGTTATATAATTCACCACTTTCTACGGATATGTCTTGCTAAACCATTTAAAAAACTTGCAAAATCTGTCTAATACTTGTAAGTTCAGTTTATTTACCGTGATATAATTATTTACCATATGGCGAGACGGGCAAGCCATGTAAAATTAGCGTAGCATTCAACGTGTTAACAAATCATCTTCACTAAGTTTTGAGCTCTGAAAACTCTAGAACTGACATTAACTTCAACGATACAGGGATGCCAACTGATTCGCTTTCTGCTAAAGTTTTAATAAACTTGTAGAATAGAGAGAATTACTCTTACTCCTTGAGAGTGTCCCCATTAGATAACTTTGCATTTCATATAATGCTCTGAATTTTAGATAGGTAGTGGTGGAAAAATTACTTATAAAAAAAATACTAAGCTAAAAATAATTGAAATTTCGTTACCACTGGAAAATATTTTCATGCAAAGTGGAGCAAGTTGACTATTTTCTTATAAAGATCAAGCAAATTTTGTTCGGATGAGGAGCGATTTTTAAGCTTCAAACATTATTGAAGGAGCGTTTTGAATGTTTAAAACAATATTGAAGAAAAGATTTGTATGCTGGAAACGCTATAGAAAGAAAGGTTTGCATGTTTTAATCCTTTCGCACCGGACGGGACATGTGCTGTCCCAGTCTGGTAAATCTTTGATATTACGGTTGGGACAACATATGTCCCAGTTACTGAAAAATATCGAGGACAGAAAATTACGCCTACTTTGGTCTCCAAGGCCGTCTCATTGCTCTGAGTTCATAAATTTATCACGTCAATCGTTCCAAATCTAGTCAAACAAGCGACAACTTGCTCCGGACAGCGAATAAATATTTTCGAATGGTTGTTTATTAATTGTGATTTTTGTTTTAATAAATTCAATTTATTAGGTTTTTAGCCACCACTATTTCTAAATAATTCCAAGGCTTATTCGAAGGCTTCTTCCTCTGATGATGGGCCGCCTACCGATAACTAACCTTAGGTTAGTAAACCGTTTAGGCCTTCCTTTAAAAGCCAGTAGTCACTGTCACCCAAGGGTTAACCTTGAAGAAGTGAGCTTCCCGCTTCGCGGGCAGGTACTTCGCATAGCTTTATATCAAGTCAAGTGATAAAGGGTCGAAATGAAATTGAATTTACCCTGATAACAAGTTGAGACAGCTCGCTTATATTAGTGTGTCTTCTGAAACTGCTACACTGAAGAGGAGACCGACAATGAAGTCGTTTCATCCAATCACAATGATTTGTTTGATGATGAAGTTGAGCTCCAGAACCAGAATCCACCATCATTTTCATGGTCCAACTAACTAACTTTACACTTCACATCCAACTAACTTTACACCACGAATGCCACTAGTTACTTACATCAGGGGTCAAACAAATTTCTCGATTGGCAACGAAGCCACGAAGTGGATTCTTTCTTCAAGATCTTTCCCAAAAGCTTATTCATTTACATTGCCTAATGTACGAACGAAAGTATGGAAATGAAAAGAAAGAGCATTTGGAAATGCGAGCAAGTCAATAAGCAAAGGCCCTCTTCCTCCAAAACTATATCATCATCATAATCAACAGCGAGATTATTCAATGTAGGAAACCATTTCCCAATTCAGGGAAAAACGCGCAGAAGATGTGCATGGTGGGTAAAAATGAAGAAAGAGGCTCGCTCGAAAATAGTGTGCTCCTTTTGCAACGTAGCACTGTGCAGGAACTGTTTCCAGCCCTACCACACACTCAAGAAACCTAGCCTTAAATACTGTTGTTCCTTCTCTACTTTCAATTTTTTACCATTCTTATTTTATAACTGTTAATTTTGAAAAGTGTTTATAAATAAATATCTTAATAAAAATGTTAACGCAAATGTACATGAAAATGTTAATAAAAAAACGTTGCCTAAAATAATCATCAAAATTTTAAGTAGAATGTCAATAAAAATGAGTTATTGACTCCAGAATTCCTGCCGGGACATACCCTGTCCCGGTGTTCAGATGCTTTGGGCTTACGGCGTGACATATGCTGTCCCATCAATGAAACGTGTGAAATAATTGTTATTGATGGTGCGCTGTTATGGAGACGTTTATGGGTCTCCAAGACCTTCAACCCTTCTAAGCATAAAAGTTATTTTATCAAATAATCGCTTTTAGGAGAAATAACTAATCCCGACAATGGGGCGCACTTTGACTGATTTTTCGCCGTATTGAAAGGGTTAAACGCTATTGATAGACAGATTCGTATGCTTAAAGCGCTGAGTGGTCACATGCGACTAAAATTGAAAAAGTGCTAACTATTAAAATTCAAAATATTATTAAAAGAAATTAAAACTAGCAATTTTTAAAACTTAGTTTTTTCAGTTTACTATAAGTACAGAAACGCCAACTTGCTCCGGACAGCAAATATATATTTTAAAGTGGTAGTTTATCAATTGAGATTCTTGGTTTAATAAATTCAATTTAGTAGATTTTTTTCCCACCACTATTTCTGAATAATTCGTAAGTTTATATAATTCACCACTTGACAGTACATCGTACCCTCCAACTCATGAGGATTTTGAAAATAATTCTTTCTAGTGGTAGCGAACCAAAGTAGAAATTTTTAAAGCAAATGGATCTCTTATAAAACTTTTATCAGAACTTAAGAATCTAGCCATATGGCATGCACTTTTATAAGTAATAGTGGACAAGTGACGCTAAAATTAATTTTTTTTAAATATTAAGACATTAATTTTGCTACCGTCTGAAAAGAAGATTTCTGAAACTGCGGAAATTCCGTAGTAGTTGGAAGGTATGGTACATTGTCGTGCTATAGAGATTTAGTGAATTGAGTTTCTATTACTTTTTTGATAAATAGTAGCACATACTTGTCCACTCTTCCGGAAGATTTCTTTTTCATATTTAAAGTGGTAGCAATACTCAGGTTATTAAAATTAACTTTTTGAATTATAATGATAATTATAAATAAGTTTGACCACCACTACATATAAATAATTACAGTAAATATATAAAAGCATAATAATACTTGCGTAAGCGAATTTCGAGAGGATCAAAATATAAATATGTTTTTGAGTCAGACTATTTTTCGTTTATTGTTTTACAACCTTTCTGAAAATCCATTCTCGGAAAGAGTGAAAGTTGGCAGGTATGGTAGCCTATAAAAGAGCGATTTGCTCGTTTAAAACACTATTGAAGGGGAGATTTGTATGCTTAAAACGCTATTGAAGCAGCGATTTGCATATTTGCAACGCTGTTGAAAGAGAGAATTGCTTGTTTACTGTCCTGTCAATTTTATTTACGATATTTGGAAAAAAATTGTAGTGGTAGCTAAGATTATTGTATTATTCTTTATTTTATAAATTTGAATTAAAATGATTTTTTACGCCACTTCTTGTAAATGATTCGAAAGTTTATATAAAAAGTAACTTTTTATTTTAACTCTCTCGTCGTGAGGTTCTAAAATGTTGGCAAAATTACCAAAAATTCTATAAGCTTCAGCTTTTAATTGTCTATCCACGCAATAAAATAGCATAGTATTTGGCATCCCTATGTTTAACACGTTGAGCGCCGCGTCAGTCATCGGTGGCTGACACTGGACTTTCCATTTAGGCCGCGTCTACCACCGGTGGCTGACAATGAAATTACATTTAGTAATTTCATGCCACCGCTTGTTGACACTGACCTTTCACATAGGTCTCGAAAAACATTCTCATTATCTTTAATGCACTGAGAACTTAAAAGCAAGCAAATAATACTAATAAACATATTAAAATTAAGTGATTTCTTAAAATTACAATCAAAACCAAAAGGAATCTAATTAAAATAATTAATATTTTTTAATTCAAACAGTGTAAAAATCTAAAATAAGTGTGGTAACTTACGTTACCGAAAAAGGAATGTCATAAATTTGCAATATGCTTGAAGGCAAAATTCTGTTCTTATACAAATGTTGGATGATTAAGATTACATGTATCATTTTTCTGATATGTTTAAATATTTCTTAAGCCTAGTTTTAAGATTTTATTTTAAAAATTAAATTGAATATAATTTTTTAAATGGGTAACTTACGTTACAGTAACTTACGTTACGAAATTCACTTTGTATCAAACTTTTATTCCAATAATGTACAAATGCAAATTAAGATATTTAAACAGTATAGTGCAAGGGAGAAAAAGTGTACATGAAGCAAATTCAGAAACTTTTGTTTCACACGTAACTGCAAACCTATAAGGTCCTCTGTTATTAACTAGTACAGGGGGTTCAATTCTTTTCACCATGTTTTCCTTCTGGTAGAATATTTCATCTCTTTTTTCTGGCTATTTACAATAGATTCCCACAGCAGCCATTACATTGACTTTAAATTCTTGCTCTTCAACAGACATGTCCTCGTATCTTACCATATATCAACCCCCAGCTTTTATCTTGGATTCATCATTTTCTCTTTTAACATCTTTCACTAAAAAAACTCTTCTGGTATGCCTTCTTGTACTCTTAAATGGTGGATTTGCTTGATGTTTTTAATCTGGGATGCTTTTGAGAATAGACTAGACACTCCGCTCATCTGTTCTAGAGACTCGCACTCATCTATTTTTTCTAAAAATAAAATAAATTTCGAAAGATGCAACATTATGAATTTTGCTGAAGGCTTCCTTAGTCAATCCGAGCTTTTCATGATACTTACAAAAACAAACATTTCTTAGAAATTTGCTACTAAGCAAGACATGCTTTGAACGGAGCTCAAAGAATTTCGTTTTTCCAATTTTGCTTTCTGGATTTTCTTCCATAAACATTTGGTGCATTTCTTGAATTGAATGAAGAAGATGTCGTGCTTTGTACTTTCTTTTTCATACCATTAGCATCTCTAATTATAACTACATCCTTAACTCCTGGTGCTTGTAGTGAGATTTCTCCAATTTTAAAAACATATGAATGCCAACACCCAAATTAATAACTTAATGCAAAGAGTTTTCTCAAAATTAATATCTTAAGGCAGTGGATTATTCATTTAAACTTTGACATTGTAACTGGATACATCTTATTTAGTTTAGATGCCAATTTTCAAGAGAACTCATTTTACATTGGTAACTTACATTACATGCATGTCAGTAACTTACGTTACGCATATTGAATAGTACACAAAACAATAAGTAAGTAATATTTAAAAAGAAAACTATTGCTGCTTATTTAGTGTTAGCCTCTAAGAAAGAAAAAATATTATTTTTACTTTTGTATCACTTAATCTTTTTACACGTAAAAACTTTTTCTAGTTTTCGGTAACTTACGTTACATGCAATAATGTTTATTTGAAATTTATATAATTAAGTGAATTTAACAACAAAAACTTATTTTCACACTGAACTATATTTTTATTAAGTGTAATAAACAATATTTATTCTTTGGAACATTTTGAAATGAAAATAATGTAAACATACTGATTTTTAAAATCTGACCATGTTCTTCACCTAAATCAGAACAAGCAAATGCCAATGTTTAATGGGTTGCCAATACTAAAAAACTAAATTCTCAAAAAAAATTATGATAAATTATCAAACCTCAAAACTTTCTGATTCGGAAAACATTCAAAATAATAACATTATTCTTATTCGAATTTTCCAATGCTTTTCCCCCTTTTCATGGAATTGCCCAACTAGCAAAATCAGTCTAAGTTCTGAATTTAATGCAAATAAAAACTCAACAAATGATGGGAGAAACTAGTTTCAAAATGTACTATCGCAAGAGAAGCGAAGAAAACGAATTTACAAAGAAAGCACTCGATTCTTTAAAGAGATATTAGGCTTACCTCCATAGCGTATTGGCGTCCGTTGATTTTATGCTCTGAGCCTTCCGTTTGAAGGTTTCCCCAATGAAAGTGAAAGCTTTTCAAATTATATCTAACATTGTCGAGATCAATTGATCGCTTAATACCATCTCTTGGCGTAATTTCGACTAAAAAAAAAAAAGACACTTCAATACATTAAAGCAGTGTTTCCCAAAGTGTGGTACGCGTACCCCAAGAGGTACGGGAACAGTGCAGCAAGGGTACGTGTTTTTATGCGAAATATATTCCAACAAATGAAAATTTAAAATTTTTTTCTTTAAAAACAAAGCTAGCCATGGAAATTTACAATAACGTATTTTTTTATTGGCTATTTTTTGCAGAGTTAACAGTTAATAATTAGTGGTGTCAACAACCAGTTGTGACTTTTAACTTTTGTGCAATTTTTTTATAGTAAAAATACATTAATTTCTTATTAGCGGTACACAGCGTTACGAAAAATTTAGAAAGAGCACACAAAAGTCATAAGTTTGGGAAACACTGCATTAAAGTAATCTCGCAGCCACACTGTTAGAATTTCAATTCTGAAATTACAGTAAGATAACAGGTAACGGTCTGTCCATTCCATTAACCATACAGTTTACGGTTAGAAACGTATTTTTTACGGTCTTGAAATCGTTTACAACTGATACGATTAAAAGACCATAAATATTAAATTAAACTGTTTTGGAATCGTTTGCAACTAGCATAGCTTCTAGACCATAAAAATAAAACTTAAGAGAACCACTGGAGCTCTATGGGTGTTGCATCATTTATGCGTGAATTTCATTTCGTTCGTCTTTGGTCTCCGATTGAAGAGTGCAGGACACTAGAATTTTTTTCTATAATTCGAACCTTCGTTCTGGTTTTGCTAGATACGAGAATGACCGATTAGTCCTCTTAGATACAGTATGTACCCAGCTAAAATTGCTTCATAAAGTGGGCCTGATGGAATTATAGAATAATCAGTAAACGTTTTTTTCATACTTGACAGTTTCAGTATCATCTTTTTTTACGGTTACTTGATTGTTTTAGGTGCATACGGTAAAAGAACAATTAAATAAATTGCTATTTAACCATTTTAGGGAAGCAAGACGTTTTCGATGTCGAAAAAATGATTTTTTCAACCATATCGACAAGCCATTTTTTCTTAATATTAAATAAATTTTAAAACTTTAAACTTTGCATTTATGAAAACTACATAACAATATCATTCAATAACAATAAAAAGGAATTTAAAATGTTTATAAATTTAATTTTTATAAATATTTGAAAATTTAATGTATATATAATTTTTTTTTAACCGGACATAGCTTTCGGTACGCTCAAAAAATTTTCTACATGAAATATCAACAAAAAATTGGCATACACTCAAGTAAATATGTTAGAAAAATCAGGTGAAATAGTTTGTTTCATAATATGTACAGAATATATTATATATAAGCAAAATAAATGTAGTATTTTTGAAAAAAATGCAAAATTTCGTTCAAATTTTGAAATACTTCCTCTGTATAACAAAATTATAATGAAAAAAATAAACTTTATATAGTTAATTTAATGTAAATAAGGTATATGTACAAGCATAGAAATTTTCATAACTTTACAATGATTTGTTTTTTGTACGAGCGTACCGAAAGTTATGTCTGGTAAAAAAAAAATTATATTTACATTAAATTTTCAAATATTTATAAAAATTAAATTTAAAAACATTTTAAATTTCTTTTTATTGTTATTGAATTATATTAATATGTAGTTGTCATAAATGTAAAGTTTAAAGTTTTAAAATGTATTTAATATTAAGAAACAATGGCTTGTCGATAAGGTTGAGAAAATCATTTTTTCGACATCGAAAACGTCTTGCTTCCCTTAACAAAGACATTTTTAACGGTGCACATAAAATAGGCCTTATCGTTCCGAGAAAAGCTCCCATACCGATCCTTATCCGGAAATGAGAAATAATTGATAATTAATGTAATTTATTTCTAGCCTGTATCCTGTAAAAACAAAATATCACCGACTATCAAGACAAAGTGAATTTTATGCTCAGATAATCCTATTACTACTACTACTGATTGTCCGTATTTAAAAAAAATTGTCGGAACATATGTATCTGTTTAACAAACTTGTGTTTAGTGGTCAGACAAAACTCTTTTAATTCTTTTAATTCTGAAACAACGGAGAATCAATAGTCATTGAAGTCTCTGGTTTCCCTCTCCATGTAACGCAAATCCATCAAAAAGTTCACCACGGAGGCAAATTTCATCTAATACTTGATCTAAGAGTTCCCTTGTCTTCTGGATTGGGTTCAAAATTACAAGGCTGCATAGTTGACCATTGGTAGTCGTAAACTCAAAATTAGGTCAGCTGTTCAACAACGGTTATATAAAAAAATGGATTTTTTAAATCAAGTATTAAAACAACCTAGCCTTCGTGGATGAGTTTTAGATTGAGCTAACCCGCATTTGCGTTACGCGGAGAGGATATTCAGGAAAACCAAGTGGATTCTGAATCATGTTTCGTGTGACACAGAATATTTTATGTAAGCACAGATTAGTCAGACAGATGTAGCACAGAATACGACGCAAACAGTAGTTCTTAGTAGTTCAATACGGAAATAATTTGGAGAACCTTGCAAATAGTTTCAAAATGTGTGGTTTAGATCTGATATTAACCGGTTAACGCCCAGCGTCATATATTTAGGACAGTTCCTTTCTTCAAAAACATTCACTGTGGTGGGAAGTTTTTTTTCAGCATTTTCATTTATCTGGGTGAATTAAGAGTTTCTCAGATGCCACAATGATTTAGTTATTTCTGATTAGATCTAGAATTATAAGTAGCGAGTACCTTTTGATCTATCAAAGACTTTTTGAATGCCCTAACAGTAGAAAAACCAATTAATTTCGAAAATATATTTTACCACTTTTTCCATAAAATCACTTTTTGTATAGTTTCAATAGATAATTTCGGGACAAAACGGGTTGAAACCTGAACTTTCTCATGAGGAGAGCTTTACTGATGGGGAGAAATTGTCAGAAGTGGAAGAAACAGAAACTTAATTAAATACACAAGTGAATTTTCTCGCAGAATCGAATGAAACCAAAATAAAGTTAATAGGATTAATTTTTCACAAGTTGTTGAAGTTTTTACCGTTAAAAAATAAAGTTTTATAGTTATAGTCATCTACTCTTCTGATTTTGCTATATAGACAAGTCAGGCATTTGATTCAGACTATTTTTTTCGATGCTAAATCGAATGAAACTAAGACCAAGCTAATGTAACTAATAGTTTAGAAGTTATACGAGATATAAAGGTTTTATGCATAAAATGTACGATTTTTGTATTTAAACATATAAAAGGACTGACATAAGTGAGACATTGTTTTTTATGCATTTGCTGACGCTAAATATAATAAAATCAAAAGTGAGTTAATATGACAAATGGCCAAGAATTATAAGGCTTTTAAACGTAAAAAGGTATTGAGTTGACTTTTACAGAACCTGTTGTTTATTTTTTAAACTAGGTAAGTAAAACTTTATTTTTCAACCCAGATTAACAACTAATTAAGCAATAATGTTTTCTCCCTTGCTGTTTACAATTTCTCATTCAAGAATTTTAGTACTTAATTGGTAGAAATCGTCAGTTTCGACTAAAAATGTTGAAATTCTACTAAATACCCAGAACGGCATGCCTCTCTTGAGGTTAAAATTTCCATTCTTAAATTGAAATACCAAACACGATTATTTCTTCCAGTTATTTCACCCTCTCTATACACAATACAAATGCCACGAACAGCTTTTGTGGTTTTAGATATCATGATTAAAAACAGGCGAAAAGAGGTATCGAAAATGCTTACATTCCTCGGCTTGGCGTTCCATTTTAATGATCTGAAAATTGAGATAAATCAACTCAAGCAAAAGCGAAACAAAAGCTTAGATTCTGGGAAAGAAAAAGCATTTTCTTTCAAAAGATTTAAGGTTGTTTTTCGAAGGCTCCGTAGTTATATGAAATTATGTTCTTTGGCGATTAATATGCTATTTTCATAATTGCTGTAAGTTTGTAACAGTTGGTCAAGTTTAGCCTATCGATGCTTAGTTTGAAGATGGCGCAAAGCGTGATTATGGAGAAAAGCCACAGTTTTATGAAAATAAAAAGCGTTTGTGGTACAATTTTAAAAATTTTTAAAAACTGAGAATAAGGCAGTGATTTTGATGATTTTCATCTAGGTGGGAAAATGTAGCCAAATTGGCGATTTCTTAAAATTTTTTAAATATTTTTAAAATATTTACGTTATTTGTCTGTTCTAAAGGCCAGATAATTCTTCACTGCAAGATGATAATTCACCACAATCGTTTAAGTGCTAACTGTGGCTTTTTTTAAAATTTTCCTTGGCGTCAGACCTACCTGAGAAAAACCATGTTAAAGCACTATATTTGCAACTTAAAAAGTCATTTTGGTAATTATAATAACAAAAAAAAAATAATTTGGTTGGTTTTAAAAATAGGCGTCTCAATTTTAAAATTTTCTGTACGCATTTTCGATAATAATCTTACTTGTATATCCTTTGTTTTCTATCTTCACGTTGGTAAGAGGAATTTCGTACCCTCTGAGCTTCAAATACTGACGACCTTTTCCCCTATTAACAATGCTTGTAATTATGTTAATTGGTGATTGGCTTTTGCCTTTACAATTATAGTAAGTATCCTTCCAATTCAAAGGACCTATAGAAATAAATACATAGTTATATAATTACACTAATCATATTTCGTTAAGCCTTAGCAATATAATAAGGAGAAATTAGTAGTTAAGAAATAATTTGGGATAAATTCATGACATCTAATATATATAGTTCTCTTACGTGGCTCCCAAATTTTAGCTGTATTTCTTTTCCGCCGGTGGCAACGTTTGCTTTGTTTTGTTTACGTTACTATTTATCTTACACGGCGAATAGACCAATGATTGCCGCTAAAAATGTCACATGCTAAATCTAGCTGAGGTGACTCAACATATAGAGCTTTTGAAAACGGAAACTTAAATAACCAGAGAGCATTAGCTGCGGCAATTTCATACTATTTAGCTAGGCAGAAGCGAGTAGTCTTTGTTTATAGATCTCTATTTTAGTATTTTGTCGAAAGTGCTTTTTTTCACGAATTTATATATTACGAATTTATTTGACGGTTTTCGATTTATATCACGAATTATACTGTAGCACATTTCTAATAGGTTTAACGAATTACATGTCATTTATTTGAATTCAAATTTATTTTAATGACTTAGTATTTACTAAAAAGATGTAATTTTTTTTTAAAAAAAAGTTTTTATATGGATTTGAATGATTGTTTTGAATTCTTAGAATTTTGTGCATTTGCAATGTACCTAAGTTAGCAGGCAGCGAAGCGAGCTTGATTTGCGAAGCAAACCATATAAGATTGCGTAGCAATTTTGGGTGGTTGGCGAGCGTCAGCGTGCAGGGGGCACAACCCACTAGTATTTATAATAATATTAAAATATATATTATTAATTAATATATATTATTAATATTTTTCTATGTTTGAACTACTAAAAAAACTACCATAGAATAGACCCCGATAAGCAAGAAAGTTACATAAAATGCTATAAAAAATTTTTATTATAGAAATTTAATTATAACCATTCGAAAAACTGAACCTTAATAACTCTAATGGCGCATTATAAGTATGAAAGTGAGAATTTATTTTAATTTGGAGACTGAACTTTTTTAAAATGCAGAAAATTTCCGAAATTCGAATACATGTAAGACAATATTTTTAAATACGTAAATTGATTTTGATATTACATTAAAAACTATATCGATTCTAAATTTTGTAAGATATTTTTCCATGTAAAACTATCTGTAAACAATTCTAAACGCAAACCTGTCCAGAATGACACTCCTAAAGTACAGAGCGCAAAAAAAAGGATCACACTGAATAACTTTTGATCTAATGAATGGATTTTCGACTTGATCTTAATGGTTCGAAGGGGTGATCTCAAATATGCTAATTAGTTAGTGCAGACGATATTCTAAGATACAAAATCCGACACAAAAACGCACTTTCTCCAAATGTAAACATACTTTTTTTCGACGGATTCGGATTTCTGACCGCCAAAATGTAGGGGGTAGCCGGAATCTGGAAAATAAAGTTTGGTCAGGAGAGCGCTCTAAATTTTGGTCCCCTTAATGTTAATTTTGCTCTCTGCGTATTATATATATATCTCGAATTATCGAATATCTCGAATTATCGAATATCTCGAATTATCGAATATCTCGAATATCGATATTATCGAATATCTCGAATATCGATATTATCGAATATCTCGAATTATCGAATAACTCGAATATCGATATTATCGAATATCTCGAATATCGATATTATCGAATACCTCGAGAACAATTTAAGTGAATTGAAAACTATTTGCGCCCAATTATAAAATTCGTTTACCCAAAGTTAATTCCATGAAATTAATAACTTTTATTACATATTTATTATTTTACTTAACACTGATAAACAAATTTGAATTGTATGGTATACACTTTGGTGTATCATTTTAAAGAATATAACTTTACACAGCAAAATTTGAGCAAAATAAGCCGAATACTTCTTGAGAAATCGAATTTTAAATATCTTATTTTCTCAAAATTCTATTTCTTTGAATCTATTCAACCAATTTTGATCAAGTTTTGTATTTTGCCATCTAAAATTATGTTCTTTGAAATGATGCAAAAAATTTTATGCCTTACAGTTAAAAGTTTTTTGATCGTTATTAAATAAGATAATAATTGTTTACTATAATTTATTTTTGGCGAGGAATTATCTTAGAATAAACGAATTTTATATTTGTGTGCAAAAAGTTTTCCATTCGCTGAAAAATTTCTCGAGATACTCTGAAATACGAAACATGAAGAGGTCCAAAATTTGGGTGGGTCTTCTGACTAAACTAAAAGGACCATATTTCCCAGATTGTGGCTACCCCTTATATTTTGGGGGCCAGAAATCCGAATCCGTTGAAAAAAAAGGTATTTTATTCAGAGAAAGTATGTTTCGTCACTCAAAATATCTTCTGCACTTATTAATTAGCATATCTGAAAACGCCCCTTCGAGTCATTAAGAGTGTGTCTTAGAAAGTGAAAAACCGGTCATTAGACCATTTTTTCTGGAGTATTGTACATATATGCAGATATAAAAAAAATTTAAACCGTCTAACTTTCGAACTATATTAAATATTGTAAGCCTTCTTTAAAAAAGCTGTTTCTCAATTTATTTAAAAAAAATTAGATTAGATTTTGAATAAATTGCAGTCATAGATACTACTATTTAATGTGGGTTAACTCAACAAGCTTTAATAAGTAAAACGGGGATCAAAATCATCATAATTGTTACATTGGCATCTTTCTATACGTTGCTAAATTTACTTAGACGTTGCTGAAATTTTTTTAGAACAAGGCTTACACACAAATAAGGATAGCTAACCAAAGAAAATAAAAACACTTGTAGTAATTTGAAGTAAGACGGGATGGGATGATGCTCGTTAACTGGAAATAGGTTTCAGACAGGCTGTGGGTTACAAACAGGGCTGAGAGCCTATATATACCAAGACGGAAAAGAGTGAAAATTGGTATGAAAGACATTTAACTATATTATTTTTTTCGACATATATTAAATTTCTGTATCTAATAAGATTATTTTTACAATTTTCAAGATTATAATCATAATAAAACGAGAAAGTTATTTTTGCATAAAAGCTATTTTTATCGTCATTCATAAAGAAATAATTTAGTAAATTTTGGAAAAAATTACCAAGATATTTCAGTTTTGAAATGAAGGCTATTATTATAATTCATCGGAAGAAAAAAGATTGTGGTTTTAGAATGAAATCATATTACCCATGAAAAGGTAATGTAATAGATTATGTATTGTCGACTCGCACAGCTCACGATAATATCATTTAGTAGAAGTTCATTTGCTTTGAAAGGCATAAAAACGAGCAACATAATTATTTACTGTCAGGTATTTTCTATAATCCCCTTCGATTACATTAGAGTGTTAAGATTTAAAAAGATTAAGAGTATTCTATAAGGTTATATCTGGGTTTTTAAAAAAATTGTTTTGAAGCTATTACGCATATTGACATTCTTTATGATCCAACTATGGCAAAAATGCTACACTAACTTAACCTTTTGGAGCATATAAGACACCGGTGTCCCTTTTTATATTCCTATTTTGAAGCTCTAATTGCAAGCAAAAATATATTTTGGTATTTTTTTATTATAAAAAAAACAGTCTATTATATCATTATTATTAGCTATTAAACAGTCAATTATAAAGTCTATCCAAAGTTCTTTAATAAATCAATACATATAGGGGAAGTAAATCGGAAATTGATCATGCTCCGGTGCAGGATAAAATTACGATTTGCAGATGGATGGATGGTGTGTGAATGTGCCATCGCTGTAAAACGGGATGTAACGTATGTAGTCTTCACATCAACTTTAGGGATATTTCCTAGACCGACGCCAATAGCCCACTGTGCAGCTCTAAGGAAGCGTAAATAAAAAAAGTACCAAAGTGTCAAATTTTTGAGGGTAAGACTAAAGATCTTGAATTAAAACTTCGTAATTTAGGAATGAAAACTATTACATTTTTAGGGGTTTACATTATTGTCAAAAAAAGGACAGCAGTTTTTAAGTAAGTCGGCTAGGTGGCCGAGTGGTTAGCATGCCGGACTGCGAAGCCATTGGCTGCGGGTTCGAATTCCGCTCAGAGCATGGATGATTCTCGCTGTGTTGTAGGATGTGTGAATGTGGCCCATACTATGAACGGGTATCTGTGGCGTGGATAATGTCGCTTGCTTTCGAGACTCTGTTACACATGTGCCCGCCGTGCAACCATAAATGAGCAATACTTCCTGCATCTTCTGAGGAGAAGAACGAAAGATCAATGACGAAAAAGTTTTTAAGTAAGTTGGACAACCGGTTTAAATTATTGCAGCTTATGAGATGGTGCATTTCGGGCCATAAGTAAAAGAACAGAAAGAGTAGGGAACTTTAGCATTTAGATTTTAATGTTCCTTGTGATATTATAATAAAGTGTCTCACCATTTGGATAGTAAGGATTATAAGCCCATTGCTTATATCTGTCAGCTGGACATTCTTGAGCGCTTATTCTTGAAATATCTAAAACCAAAATAACAATTATTATGGCATCTAATAGTGTGTTTTCTCAAAGTTAAAGTGATTCCTATTTAAAGAAAAGACAATTGTTATATCACGAACATTACAAAGAGTCGTAACCATACACTGGAAAAATATCGGCAACTACGTAATATTATTTTATATCATAATTTCTTGAACCAGATTTTTCGAAAAATTTCATAGTTAGTAATTAAATTTCTTTCAATTTTTATGAATTTTCTGTTACATTTTAATTCTAGTTGTAGCAAATTAATAATTTGGAGTAACAGTAGTAATTGGCTGTTATTGTAGAATAGTCTGTTTTAGAACTGGGCATCTGAGGCCTAAATGGCCCTTATCCCATTCATCATGAAATATCCCAAAGGCATACCTGCCAACTCTTCCGTATTCTCCGGAAGATTTTATTTTCATATTTAAAGTGGCTGCAATACTCATGTTATTCCAATTAACTTTTTGAATTATAATGATAATTATAAATGAGTTTGACCACCACTACATATAGATAATTACAATAAATATATAAAAGCATAATAATCCTTGAGCAAGCAAATTTTAACAGGATCAAAATGTAAATATATTTTTGAGACAGATTGTTTTTGTTAATTGTATTACAACCACTCTGAAAACTCATTCTCGAAAAGAGTGAAAGTTGGCCGGTATGCAAAGGGACATACATAAGAAAGTTGTATTGGTGGTTCGGAAAAGAACCTGAAATGCGATAAAATAATGAAAGGCATCATGAAAAATGTAGCAGGCTTGATGGTGAGCTTTTTTAGAAGCAAAATTTAAGCCTAGTTATATTTTGAATTATTAATCAAATTTAAAGTGGGTTTGAATATATCCAAATAAATTAAATAACTATACAAATGTGTGGTAATAGGTTTCTCAATTAATTAAGTTTTGTAAAACAAAACAAAAAAAATATTCTAAAAATATTCTAAGAAAATATATTAAAATTTCGACTTCGAATCCCAGCGAGGGCTGGTCGATATGAACACACCGAACTCAGTGCTGGCGTAAAATTTAACGACTGTTCAAAGACAGTTATAAAACAAAATCAACAAATTGAAATAAATAAAAATTTGTTTAGCAGTAAATATAAAATTAAATAAATTTTCAGTAATTATTCAAAACCATGTATAGTGCGCAAACTAAGAAAAAAACGAACGACCTTGAATAACGTTTGATATAATGATTGGACCTTCACATTCTAGGTCTCAATTTTTCGAGGAGGTAACCTTAAATATACTAATTAATTATTGCAGCCGATATTTTAAGTTACGAATAAATCAGACATGGAAACGTACTTTCTTAGAATAAACGTGTACTCTTTTTTCGACATATTTGATTTTCTGACAGGATTCTGAAAAAGAATGGATTGTTGTAATCTGGGAAAAACGGCTCCAATAGTTTGGCCAAAAGGGTGATCAAAAGTTTGAATCGCCTCATGCTAATATTACTTATTTCGTTCTTCATTATGAATGGAGAACTTTTTAAGCAAATTGATAAACTTTTGCACACTCAATTTTAAAATTTTGTTAATCCGAAAGTTAAAATGCAAAATATTTAACAAATATTTATTATTTTTCATTATTTTATTTAATAATAGTGAAAAAAATATTTAGTTGTAAGGTATACACATTTTTACATAGTTCTAAGGAATGAGATTTTCAATCGCAAAATACAAAATTGAGCAAAATCAGTCAAAAATTTCTGAAAAATTGAATTTTAAAAATCAAAATCCAAATCCGTCGAAAAAAATTTTCTTTGTTAATTCATAGAAAGTACGCTTTTGATTCTGATTTCGTAACTTAAAATATCGTCTGGTCTAATTAATTAGTATATTCGAGGTCACAATTAAGATTGAATCCAAGAACGTAAAGATCCGATCATTAGATCAAGCTATTTGGGTGGTCAGTTCATTTTTGTGTGCACTGTAAAATTTTATTTATTTTTTTAGTTTATATCATATTTTACCATGTCAGTCACCAGTGACTGACGCTAAGCGGAAAATTCAGTGTCAGTCACAGGTGACTGACGTGGCGCTCAACATACTAAGAGTAAGAGAAAACAGATGTAAAGAATTAAATACTTACGCAGACAAGATATGATACCCCAAACTATGGTTATCAAAGTCATTAACTGCATGACACTTTTGTTTTCAGTTTATCAATGGGAAATGGAAGAAGTAATCCTTTTGATATAAATTCAAAAACGGTTTTTAAAATTTGAAATGTCTTAGAGTGGACATTTTCAATTCCAAATTGAAACTGCCTTCAATTATAGTTTTCCTTTATACTCAGAAACAAATAGGATGAGTATAATTGCTTCGTATAAAAAAAATCTTTGAATGCCCTTGAATTGAATAGTACCTTCAAAAATAATCAATCAATAAGTCTGTGTGGAAAAATTATAGAAAGCGGTCTTTTTCATCAGGCATTGCAAATAATTGTGAAATATAAATCGTATTTCGAAACTAAATTTTATCATTAAGAACAATTTTAAAAAAATAAATAAAGGAATAAAAATATATTACATTAACATTTTACTCTTGACCGTATAATGATTTAAAAAAATATTTTTAATAAAACGTTAGCTCAATAGTTTACATTTAACTATTTATAATTATCAGTATTTTAATAGAAATACATAAAATAAATTCCGTATTATTTAAAGCCGGATGTTTAAAGTTAAGAAATAATAGCTTTATATTGTTTGTTGTGACCTTCGATTGCTTTTCATGCAAAAATAACTATTAATTTAATAATTATTATCATAAATCAGTTTTTTTTAAAAAATAAAAAAGTCCATATCTCCATTAACATTTCAACTTTGTTTGCGAAATTCAATTGACATTTAAACTAGGTTTATGAAATTTTGTGTAATTATTGCATATATTAATCAAAATAGTTGTTACAAGTTGCAAATTTATTGTTACATTGTTTGGTATAGGGTGTTCAAAAACACTATTTTCAGTGTGTAATTTATTGTCAGTCCCTGAAATCTCTAAAAGCTTTAAATTTCATTGATAAGTATGGAAAACAGCATAACATAAGCACTTCTAAATTTATAAAGTAATTATCTAAGTGTATTTTGAAAAATATTGTAAAATGTGTTAGTACAGAAGTTTTCCCATTATTTTGTCCCGCCCCTGAAGGACTGGTCATCAAACGGTATCACGCTGACAAGGGCTAAATCATCACCTCCTACATCAAAAAGCCTCCACACGGTCTTTTATAAGTAGTCCGAGCAGACTGCTTAAAAAGTGAACCAGTTGTGCGCATGAACCAAAAACCTTTTATAAAAGTAATTGAGAGAAATTTATCATATATATTTAAGAATTGAATTTGACAAGTGAATAAGGCAAACCAATAATATTCATAAATAAAACAAATTTTTAGTTATATATTTGCTACCACTTTCTTATTTTAACTAAATTTTGTATTAAATGACTCGTTCGGAAAGTGGATATCTTACACAGTGGTCTGATCGGACTACCTATAAAAAACAGTGTTGAGGCTTTGGCTAAATACGGCACTCGTAGACAGAGTATATCTCGAGGATGCTTTCTAACGTACTCACAAGTCATCACATGATACAAGCGGTACGATTTCTCGTTCCGCAAAATGGCTTAAGTAAAAAAATTACTTAATAAAATCGAATGATTCGATTCCCCTTCTAAATAAAAAAAGAGAAAAAAATTTTGAACTCAACTTGAGTTAAATACATCTCTGTTTGAGTCATACATTTGCTTTGCATTAAATCGAACTTGAGTTGCAGTTAATTATGTGATACTTAAGTTAATTTTATTCAAGCATTATTTAGTGAGTGGCTACATACCAGTTCGTAAAGACTGTTGAAAATAGATTCCATTTGTTTATAATTTAATTGTGCGTGAGCTGTAACCTAGAATTTGTCTCATTTTATTTTAAAAGAGGAAACGATGTGGATTTTCGGCTGCTATGATGATATGATGGAACAACTTGTATAAATAAAAGTGTTATGTTTTCTTTTATGCTATTCGCAATCGCAACGCTCGAGTACGCCCTCTAGCGGGAGCCTGTAAATATCAGACATTAATTTATCACGTTTTTATTTAGTTCCATAAAAATCATTGGCCATGACGGACGCCATTTTCTTAGCAGCAAATAAAAAT